AACCCGGGACACTTCGGTCTGGGAGCCGATGCTTTAACCACTGAGCATAGCCTCAAAAAAGCCGAGCTAACCCCAAAGGGCCGATTCCGGGTCAGGGCCCATGCCGGGGTTGTGGGCTCCATCCCCAGTAGGAAGCGTGCAGGAGGCGGCCGATCCATGATCCTCTCTCATCATGGATGTTTCTCTCTCTCTCTCTCTCTCTCTCCCTCTCCCGTGTGCCCACAGAGGCGAGTACGCGCTGTCGGAATACACCGAAGTGAAAACAGTCACCATCAAACTGGACGACAAGGACCCGTGAGGGAAAGGCGGGCTCTGTCCTCCGACGTCTGAATGTGGCCCATCCATCCAACCTGCCGGAGAGAGAGCGACCCTGCTCACTCCCTGGCCCTCTCTCTCCTGGAGACCTTACGTCCACTGGATGGAAGGGAGAGATTCTCATTTCCTCCTCATTCCTGTTGCATTGACCAGTATGTTGGGGGGTAGAATTGCAGTTCTGCCTGGAGGTGGCGCTGTGGAGCTTTCCTTTCTTTCTTTCTTTTTTTTTTTTTTTAAATATATTTTATTGATTTTTTACAGAGAGGAAGGGAGAGAGATAGAGAGTCAGAAACATCGATGAGAGAGAAACATCGATCAGCTGCCTCCTGCACACCCCCTACTGGGGATGTGCCCGCAACCCAGGTACATGCCCTTGACCGGAATCGAACCTGGGACCCTTCAATCCGCAGGCCGACGCTCTATCCACTGAGCCAAACCGGTTTCGGCCTTTCTTTCTTTTTTTTTCTAATCGTCACCCGAGGATCTTTTTCCATTGATTTTTAGGGAGAGTGGGAGAGCAGGGAAAGGCAGAGAGAAACATCGATGCACGAGAAACACATCGATGGGTTGCCTCCTGCACGTGCCCGGACTGGGGAGGAGCCTGCCACCGAGATACGTGCCCTTGACTGGAATCGAACCCGGGACCCTTGGGTCCCCAGGCCGATGCTCTATCCACTGAGTCACACCGGCTGGGGCACCTGCTTCCCTTTTCAACCGGGTCCCCTGGGAGGGTGAGGAGGCTCAGGGCGTGCCAACAGGAAGTGGTGGGTGAAGCCTCCGGCGGTCGCTTCAAAATGCTTTGCTGACTCTACTCCAGGAAGAATTTGGGAGGAACGTCCCTGAATGTTCTAGAAACCTGGCCCTGTGTCTGGGGGGCCCTCCCATGTACCTGTGCCTCCCATTCACAAGCCCCTCCTACCTTTTATATGGAAAGGAATAGTACTAAGTTAAAACAAAAAAACAAAAAAAACACCCAAACAAACAGAATTGCAAGGATCCACAAGGGGCCGCTATTGGGAAGCAGGTCCCCTAGAAGGTCGCTGAAGGTCTTGGGTGTGAAGGGGCATAAGTCTTCCTGCCTTTGGTCTAGGACTGAATCAGCAGCCCAAACACCACGGCTGGGGTCCCCGTCCCTGTGGCCGGTCCAATGTCCTGATGCGTACAACAGCAGAGCAAATCCGAGCGTCAGTGCGTCCCGCATGTCCCCAAGCAGGGCCATAACTCAATTTGACAAAGGATGTGTTTCCGTCACTTGGATTAGTGGTTGAGCTAACGTTCCTTTTCCCCAGTTTGATGTGCAAAACATACACAACTCCACAGGCTGCTGTTCTAACACAGCCCTGGTTTAGTAGAGTCCTATAGAGTCCTTTTTTTTTATTTTTATTTTTTTAATCTCAGAGAGGATGGGAGAGGGGGAGAGAGAGAGAGAGAAATAGAGACATCAATGATGAGAGAGAATCATGGATCGGCTGCCTCCTGCACGCCCCCTATTGGGGATGGAGGGTGAACCCGGGCATGTGCCCTGACGGGGAATAGAACCGTGACCCCCTGGTTCATAGGTCGGCACTCAACCACTGAGCCACGCTGGCTGGGCCAGGCTTAGCATTTTTTTTCCAGAAATCTGCAATCCACCATTCACTGTCGCCTCAGCACCAGTTCGTTCTTACCACTTACACTGTCAGTACCTTGTGAAATCAGGACTTAACGCATACACTGAATTTTCAGGATTTTTATCTTAAGTAATTATAGACACTAACCTTGATAGGAATACATTAGAGGGTTCTTATTCTGTCATGGTACAATAATAATGCCTTTAATATGAAACGGGACATTATTTATAATTGATATAGTTAATGTATCTTTTTATAGTTGTAAGTAAACAGAGGTGGTATATTTAACCTTCTGTAATATACTGTATTTAGAAATGGAAATCTATATAGGCTTAGATGTCACTCCTTCGAAGGTTTACTCCTATGGTACGGTTTAAAAAAAATCTATTGGCCTGGGAACTCCGACCCTAACTGCAGACTGTGTTAACAACGCAACCACAATAAAATACAGTTGGATATTTGAGAAACGTTATGTGTGTGTGTGTGTTTTAAGGACCAAATCCACTTTAAGTTATGACTGACCTTTCTCTTTCTTAGACCTTCGGTACAAAACGGCTTATGATAAAGTAGAATCGATCCCTTAAGAATAGCCCTAGCCAGTTTCGTTCAGTGGTTAGAGTGTCGGCCCGTGGACCAAAGGGTCGCAGGTTCGATTCCCGGTCAAGGGTATGTACCTGGGTTGCAAGTTCGATTCCTAGCCCGGTTGGGGTGCGTGTGGGGGGCAACCCATCGATGTGTCTCTCTCACATCGATGTTTCTCTCTCTGTGTCTCTCCTCCTCCCTACCACTCTCTCTAAAAAATCAATGAAAAAAATATCTTTGGGAGAGGAGAAGCAACAAAATAACTTCAGAACAAGATGACAGGTGCTCCACTGAATTTAGCCTGAGTGGGGCATTTCGGGGAGCATTTAGTCCAGACCGGCCGGTGTAGCTCAGTGTTTGAGCATCGACCCATGAACCAGGAGGTCACCGTTCGATTCCCAGTCAGGGCACATGCCCGGGTTGTGGACTCAGTCCCCAGTAGGGTGTATGCAGGAGGCAGCTGATCCATGATTCTCTCTCATCATTGATGTGTCTATCTCTCCCTCTCCTTTCCTCTCTGAAATCAATAAAAATATTTTTTTAAATATATATATATATTTTATTGATTTTTTACAGAGAGGAAGGGAGAGGGATAGAGAGCTAGAAACAGATCAGCTGCCTCCAGCACACCTCCCACTGGGGATGTGCCCGCAACCAAGGTACATGCCCTTGACCGGAATCGAACCTGGGACACCACTCTATCCACTGAGCCAAACCGGTTAGGGCTAAAAAGTATATTTTTAAATAAATAGATAGATGAATAGATAGGTAGATATATAGAGATAAATTAATTAATTAAATGCATTCAATAAATAACGAATGAATGAAGTTGAGTTGATCCTGTCCCCAATGGCCAAGTGGCCACGTCTGCTCCTGTCTGCCCAGGCGCTGCACTGGCGTGCGCTTCCTCGCGGCGCCGCTAGATGGCGCAGCCACAGCGCTATGGCCGCCACGCCCTGCCAATTAGGGACTCTTCCTCCCTGCCCGCGGCCCCCCAAATCCTACCGCCGGTTGTTTTTCTTATTTATTTGCTTGCATGCTGGAATGAGGACCGCAGTGGTGGGACGGGATTGCAAAGCTGCACCCCTCCTTCTGGAAGGGCGTCCCGTGGCTGGAGAGCTGGGGGGGGCAACTTCTTGGGAGCGAAGCCAGGCTGCCCCCCGCCCTGGTCCCCTTGCCCGCCAGGCGGGGTGTCGGCGAGGTCGTGCCGGGGAGGGGGGAAACGATGGGGGGGACCTGGGGGTGCCCGGCTTTTGTGAAATGGCCGGGAGGGTGGTGGCGATTTGTCTGTGCCTTGAGCTAAATCTTGGGAATGCCCCCGGAAATGCCAGGGTGGAAAACCATCACCATTTTCCCCTCCCCGAGCCGCGTCTCTTTCTCCCGGGGGCACCTGGAGCCGAATCTGACGCCCGCCCGTCGCGCGAACTTGAACTTGCGTCTTTATGATCTGCGTTCGGGTAATGGTCTCAGGGGTGCGATGCACATACTTGTATTAGGGGGGAACATGCATAATACATTGCCAACCTCCCTCTATGCTTTATCTACACTTCCCCCTCCCCATTAAAGAACAGCAATTTATTTGTTTTTTTAAGTATTTGAAAATTGATTTTTAGAGAGAGAGTAACGTCCATGTGAGAAGAAAACATGAATGGGCTGCCTCCTGCACGCCCCCTGCCGGGGACCGACCGAGCTTGCAACCCGGCTGACCGGGAATTGAACTGGCAACCTTTGCAGCGGTTCTCAACCTGTGGGTCGCGACCCCTTTGGCGGTGGAACGACCCTTTCACAGGGGTCGCCTAAGACCATCCTGCATATCAGACATTTACATGACGATTCATCACAGTAGCAACATGACAGTTCTGAAGTAGCAACGAAAATAATTTTAATGGTTGGGTCACACCATGAGGAACTGTATTTAAAGGGCCAGAAGGTTGAGAACCACTGCTTTAGGGGCTCCGGACAACGCCCAACCAACTGAGCCACATTGGCCAGGGCAAGATCCCCAATTTAAAGTAGCTCACCACGCCCTGGCCTGTTTGGCTCAGTGGACAGAGCACCGGCCTGCGGACTGAAGGGTCCCAGGTTCGATTCCCGCTCAAGCGCACATGCCCAGGTTGCGGGCTCGACCCCCAGTAGGGGGCGTGCAGGAGGCAGTCGATCCATGATTCTCTCTCTCCATGGATGTTTCTCTAGGCCCTTCCTCTCTGAAATCAATAAAAGTATAGATTCTAAAAAGATGCATCATCATAAGATAAATCTTTCAAAAACATGAAAGACAAGAATCCACCAAATAGTAACATCTTGGTATACATACAGCCATCACTAAATTGGCAAACTCCTGTAGTCGGGCGGGCGCCCGAGGCGGGCCATCCCGCGGACGCGCGGTGCGGGTTCCGGATCGGCCGCGGCCACTCCCGGCCCTGCGCGCCCGACGCGCCGCCTGCGCGCCCGCCTCCCGCGGCCCCCGCCGTCCCCGCCCGAGGCGGCTCAGGATTGAGGAAGTGCGTCTGGCCCGCCCGGCCCGGCCCCCGCGCGCGGCCGGAGCGCAGGGGGCGCAGGGCAGTGGCACCGCCAGGCCCCGGCCCGCCCGCGGGTGTCCGCCCGGCCCTGGCGCCCAGCCCCGCCGCCGCCGCCGCAGGTAAGCGCTGCCCGTGCCGCGCCCCGCACCCGGCGCCCCGCACCCCGCGCCCTCCGGCCGGTCCGCCTGGCGCGTGTGTGCATGGAGTGAGGGTGAGTGTGGGCGCGTGTGTGCATGTGAGTGTAAGTGCCTGCGTGTTGGGAAGGGACTCGGAGGAGTCTCTCTTTGCCCAGGGGACGGCGTGGTGATACAGGAGGGCCCAGCACACCTCAAAGTCTGGGGCCTGCTCTGTGCCCCTGGGGGGCGTCTCTGGTCCCTAAAAACAGCCACGTCTACGGGGACTCTGCCAGCCACCTCCCCTGCGGCAGATGAGGGCTGTCAGGTTAGGCTGCAGGTGTGTGGGGGGGGTGGGGGAGAATTGGGGGACCTCTGGGGATCAGGGGGAGGTGGTGATGGAGAACTGGGAGACTCCTAGGGGTGGGAGGGAGAGAGTGACTGGGGATTGGGGATTTCTGTGGACAGAGCAACCTGCCCCTTCACAGCCTGAGGCCACAGATTTTTCCCCCCACAAATGTCCCGTGCAGGTGACAGGGAGGTAGAGAAGCAGGTGCCTCGCCCCAGACCCCCTGCTTTTCGTGTTTGCCCCTGTTCGTCTCAGAGTGCCCTGGGCATGAGAAGGGGAAGATTAGAACATGCACAGTTTGGGACAGTGTTAGCATCCAATGCCTTTTGTAACCTGACTTCTCTTTGCTCATGTCCCGGAAGAATAAAGGAAAGAAATGAACATACCCCTGGAGTTCATACAAAATAATGTCGAATGCAAACTGTCGTGGAAAAATCACAATTTAAAAGAAGTAAGACCACAAAAACAGCCCGGCCAGCGTGGCTCCGTGGTTGAGCGTCGACCTATGAACCAGGAGGTCAGGGTTGGATTCCCAGTTAGGGCACGTGCCCAGGTTGTGAGTTCGATCCCCAGTAGGGAGTGTGCAGGAGGCAGCGGACCCATGATTCTCTCATCGTTGATGTTTCTGTCGCTCTCTCTTTCTCTCTGAAATCAATTTGTAAAAGCTTTTTAAATAATAAAAATAGGTAAATCAGCCCTAGCCGGTGTGGCTCAGTGGATAGAGTGTCGGCCTGAGGACTGAAGGGTCCCAGGTTCGATTCCAGTCAAGGGCACGGACCTTGGTTGCAGGTTCCATCCTGGTCAGAGACATGAAGGAGGCCACCAACTGATGTGTCTGTCTCACATCAATGTTTCTCTCTCTCTCTCTCTCTCTCTCTCTCTCTCTCTCTCTCTCTCTCTCCCCCCTTCCCCTTCCCTTCCCTCCCCTCCCTGCCCCTTCCCTTCGATTCTCTCCATAAATCAATGGGAAAATATCCTCGGGTGAGGATTAACTACAACCACAAAAATAGTCACATCAGATAGTCACTTCCGTAGCTTCTCCTTGTTGAGCGGCATGAAATCCAGGAGAACTTCCCTTCACACCCCAGCTGGTCTGGCCTCTGCCACCTTGGGCCACCTGGCCATTGCCCCCAGCCACCCTGGCCCATCTCCATCCCGTGGCCTCAGCTGCCCGCCCCCCCCCCCGCCCCCCAACTCCACATGCCAGCACCCTCTCTAAACCCAGCCTCTCTCTGTGTCCTCCTTAGGGCCTCTGCCGTGTTCCTACTTGATCTGTTCGACTTTTTTCTTTTCTTCTTTTTTTAATATAAATTTTTAAAAATATTTTTTTTTTACAAAAAAGAGCTGGGTGACATGAGCATTTGTAACATGCTTAACGTCCAAGTCTTCCAACTGGTTTTTGCATTGATTTTAAAATATGTATTTTTTTTATTGATTTCAAGAGAGGAAGGGGGAGGGAAGGAGAGAGAAACATCACTGATGAGAGAGAATCGTGGATCGGCTGCCTCCTGCACGCCCCCTACTTGGGATCCAGCCCACAACCCGGGCATGTGCCCTGAATGGGAATCAAACCGTGACCTCCTGGTTCATAGGTTGATGCTCAGCCACTGAGCCACACCAGCCAGGCTCCACTGATTTTTTAGAGCGAGTGGAGGGAGAGGGAGAGACAGAGAGAAACATCGATGTGAGAGTCACATCGATCGGTTGCCTCCCGCACGCACCCCGTCCAGGGCCCCGGGGAACCTGCAACCAGGGCATGTGCCCTTGATGGGAATCGAACCCGGGACCCTTCAGACCGCAGGCCGGCGCTCTATCCACTGAGCCACACCGGCTAGGGCTCAGCTTTCCTTTTGAAGTTCTTTTTCATTAAAGTGTTTGGGTGTCTTCCTTCGGGCAGGTCTGGAGAGTTGGCCGTAGAACACTGGTGAGGTTTTAAGATGTGTGAAAGGAATGATCCTGGCAGGAAACTCCCAGAAGCCCTCGCTAGGGTGTCTGTGCCAAGAAGGAAAAGAAAATGTGACATTTCCAGCCCCACAAACCCGTTGCGGGGCCCTTGAGCAACCCCGGGCGTTACCTCATCTCCAAACTTCTACCTTAAGCGCCTCGGCCAAAAGACAGATCATAACTGAAAAGCTGCTTCCGTGGCACAGGTCCTCCCTGGTAAAGTGATTTTCAGAAGGAAAGTGAAAATGAAAAGGGGAACAGAATGTACTGGGTGAGGGGTGGCCTGAAATATTTTAAAGGTTTAAAAAGAAAACACTTAAGCAGAATTACAGGGTAAGTCAGACACTTCTCTTTTCAGAAGGGGCGCCCGCCTGCCTTTGGGGGTTGGAAGGGAGTGGGATTCCTCTGCCAGCCGATGGAAGAGGTTAGGAGCAGATAGCAACGGTTCTCCTTGATTTCCGAACGTTCTTGGAGCCTTGGTTCCCTTTGTTTTGTGTGTATTTTTTTGTTCCTCCTCACCCGAGGATATTTTTCCATTAATTTTTTAGAGAGAGTAGAGGGAGTGGGGGAGACACAGAGAGAGAGAGAAGCATCGATGTGAGAGAGACACATGGATTGGTTGCTGCCTCCATGAGCCCTGACCAGGGAATCGAACCCGGGACCCTTCAGGCCACGGGCCGATGCTCTGTCCACTGAGCCAAACCAGCTAGGGCTGGAGCCTTGGTTTGGTTTTGTTAATATATATTTTTATTGATTTCAGAGAGGAAAGGAGAGGGGGAGAGAGAGAAACATCCACGATGAGAGAGAATCGTGGATCGGCTTGCCTCCTGCACGCCCCCCACTGGGGATGGAACCTGCAACCCGGGCCTGTGCCCTGACCGGGAATCGAACCAGCAACCTCTTGGTTCATAGGGCGACCGCTGAGCCAGGCCGGCTGGGCACCAGCTTGGCTGTAACACGGAGGTTCTGTTGTGCGGCTTCTCCCTGTCCCCATCTCGAGCTGATTTGGCTCAGGGGCCGTTCTAGAACCTGCTCGCTGGGGAGCTGGCCCTGGTGTAGACATCTTAACCCTCACAGCTGCCCAGTGAGCTTGCCCGGGAGGAGGGTACGCATCTATTTTTAACAGATGAGCAAACTGAGGCCCTTGTAAGTTTCGCCTTGAGGTTACGCTGCCGGCACGGGACACAGATCACCCTCGCCTTTGACCTCCACACATCATTTGCATGACCTTCGCTTTTTTTTTTTTTTTTTTTTAGCTGCGCTATATCTCTCTCCGTTTCTGAGGACGGTGGCTAATCATTGATGTTTCTCTCCCTCTGACCCTCTCTCTTCCTCTTTGAAATCAATAAAAAGATACTTTAGCCCTAGGCCGTTTGGCTCAGCGGATAGAGCGTCGGCCCACGGACTGAAGGGTCCCAGGTTCGATTCCGGTCAAGGGCACGTACCTCGGTTGCAGGCTCCCTGGCCCTGGGTGCGTGCAGGAGGCAACCAATCAATGTGTCTCTCTCACATCAACGATTCTCTCTCCCCCTACCCTCTACTCTCTCTATAAATCAATGGGAAAATGTCATCGGGTGAAGATTTTCAAAAATTTAAAAATAATAATAAATATATTTTAAAAAAAGAAAAGCTTTCTGATTTTCTGATGGTTTTCTTTTTACCACCAGAGCGAGACGGCCTTCCGCTCAGCCATGACCAAACGTCCGTGCCTTCGACCCCACCTCGGGCAGCCACAGCGGTGACCACGGCCAACGTGGATTTGGGGGAGCAGCCACCCCGAGGCTTCATGGCTGGCATGTCGGGGCGACCGCCCAGCATGTACTGGTGTGTGGGGCCGGAGGGGTCAGCCGTGAGTCCAGAACGCGCCATGGACACGCACAATGGTAAGGACGGGGCTGGCCGAACCTGCCACACGTGTCCCGGGGGGAGCCCAGGCCACGTGAGCACAAGGGGTTCTCAACGGAAGGATCTAGCATGGCTGTGAGGGGGTGACTTGTTGATTACAAAATGTACCCGGGGATTCTCACTTAAATTCTAAAAATTAGCCCCGGCCGGCGTGGCTCAGTGGTTGAGCGTCGACCTAGGAACCAGGAGGTCACGGTTCGATTCCCGGTCAGGGCATGTGCCCGGGTGGCGGGCTCCATCCCCAGCAGGGGGCGTGCAGGAGGCAGCCGGTCCGTGATGCTTCTCTCTCATTGGTGTTCCTATCTCTCTCCCTTTCTCTCTCTCTCTGAAAATCAATAAAAATGTATTTAAAATATTTTGAAAATAATAATAATAATAATCATAAAAGCCCTTGGAGGCTGGCATGCTTTGGAAATGACGTGGACATATCTCTTTGGGGCTTTCTTGGTGAATCCTCACCCAGCCATATTTTTCCGTTGATTTTTAGAGAGAGGGGAAGGGAAGGGGAGAGACAGAAACAAAAGAACCCTTCCAGGTGGCGTTTAGAAAAAGATCTAAACGGGAATGAAACACGTAGCTTTACTTTGGGGGGGGTTGGTGATGTGTGCGTGTGTGTGTGTGTATGTGTGTGTGCGCGTGCAGGCTAGGTGGTTTTCTTCACACTGCTACCTGTTTTTCTTTGTTTTTGATTTTTTTTTAAAAATATATTTTATTGATTTTTTACAGAGAGGAAGGGAGAGAGATAGAGAGTTAGAAACATCGATGAGAGAGAAACATCGATCAGCCGCCTCCTGCACGCCCCCTACTGGGGATGTGCCCGCAACCTAGGCACATGCCCTTGACCGGAATCGAACCCGGGACCTTTCAGTCCGCAGGCCGACGCTCTATCCACTGAGCCAAACCGGTTTCGGCTATATTTTTTAAATTGACTTCAGAGAGGAAGGGAGAGGGAGAGAGTGAGAGAGGAACATCCATGATAAGACAGAATCATCGATCGACTGCCTCCTGCACGCCCCCTACTGGGGACGGAGCCCGCCACCCCGGCATGTGCCCTGACCGGGAATCGAACCTGGGACCCTTCAGTCCGCAGGCTGATACTCTATCCATTGAGCCAACCCGGCCAGGGCGACTGCTCCCTGCTTCGACCTGCACCCCACCCCGCCTTGTGTCTGTGGAGCACAGTTCAGGCTTCCAAAGGCCAGGGCTGTGTGAGCGCGTGCCTGCCGGCTGCCCGGTGGCGCCCAGCTGGTGTGTGTGTATCTGTCCCGTGTTTCGGCCTCACTCCTGTACCCCGGAAGGAAGGCAGGTAAGGTTGTGGGGGCTGTGCCCTCGCCTGAGCCCTGGGCCGGGCCTGCAGGGCAATCCATCCTGACAAACAGGCCAGGGCACATTCCCATCCATGAACACGGTCGGAGTGGACAGACCTGTCCGGCCGGCTGGGGAGGCTGCCTGGAAAGAGGAGAAGGGAGGAAACGGAGATCCTTCAGGCCCAGGCCCCTCGGGGAGCAGACTTGTGCGCATGGAGGGTGAGGGGTGCTCGGACAGACAGAGGGACGGACAGAGGGACGGACGGACGCCCCCAGGGTGGCTCACGCCCCCCTCCTCTCTGTGAGGGGTCCTGGCGTCAGCAGCCCGCCGCTCAGAGCATGGTCCTCCCCTCCCCCAGACCCAGCATGGACCAGAGGAGGACAAGGAACATTCTAGAAGGTCTGCAAGTCCCAGTGTCCTTTTCTTATTCCTTTGACTTGTCCAAATCTGTATATTTAAAAAAACTTATTTCCCTAGCTGGTGTGGCTCAGTGGATAGAGCATCGGCCTGTGGTCTGAAGGGGCCTGCGTTCTATTCCGGTCAAGGACACATGCCCGGGTTGCGGACTCGAACCCCAGTTGGGGGCCTGCAGGAGGAGGCCGATCATTGGTTCTCTCTCATCATTGATGTTTCTCTCTCTCTCCCTCTCCCTGCCTCTTTGAAATCAATAAAAATATATTTAAAATAATAATAATAACTTCGCCCTAGCTGGTTTGGCTCAGTGGATAGAACTGAGGTCTGAAGGGTCCCGGGTTCAAATCCGGTCAAGGGCATGTACCTTGGTTGTAGGCACATCCCCAGTTGGGGGCAGGGGTGTGCAGGAGACAGCTGATCGATGCTTCTCTCTCATCGATGTATCCAGCTCTCTATCCCTCTCCCTTCCTCTCTGTAAAAAAATCAATGAAATACTTTAAAAAGTAAAAAAATAATAATAATAACTTCTTGCCCTGGCCGGTTTGGCTCAGTGGATAGAGCATCGGCCTGCGGACTGAAGAGTCCTGGGTTCGAGTCCCGGCCGAGGGCATGTACCTCGGTTGCAGGTTCCATCCCCGCCCCCAGTTGGGCACCGTGGAGGAGCCAGCCAGTCATGTGTCTCTCATACATCGATGTTTCTCTCTCTCTCCTCCACTCTCCCTAAAAATCAATGGGAAGATGCCCTTGGGTGAGGATTAACAACAACAAAAAGGTGATGAAGAAGAAATGTAGGTCTGCTCTGGCTGGTATTTCTCAGCGGTTAGAGCGTCAGCCCATGAACCAAAGGGTCCCCGGTTCGATTCCCAATCAAGGGCACGTACCTGGATTGCAGGTTCAATCCCCGCCCTCCCCCCAACCCCCACCGTCTCAGTGTGTGCGGGAAGCGACCAATCTATGTGTCCCTCCCACATCGAAGCTTCTCTCTCTCTCCCTCCCCTCCCTTCCACTCTTTCTAAAAAAAAATCAATGGGAAAAATATGCTCGGGTGAGAATTCACAAAAAAAAAAGAGGAAATGCCAGCTCTCAGATCAGATAGGACCCTGTCTTGCTTTGTCTCTGCCCACTTCCCCTTGGGGACTCTGAGGCCCAAGATCTGCCCCATCTGTCCCTGCCCCGGGGGGTCCTGCTCCCAGGAGTCCCTGGTCCTTGGCTCCATAAGCTGGAAACTCGGTTCTGTTTTGCTTCCTGGGGGGTCAGGGGAGTGGGAGAGGGGGATGGGGAGGGCTCCCTCCCTGCCCTCTCCGCTGCCCGCCCAGCTTGCAGACTCAGTGGGTGAGGCCGGGCATTTCTCCTTTACGGCCTTCATCTTCCTCAAAAGCTTGTGGGAACCTGGTTGGGTGCTGGCGTTCGAGTTGGGATTCCCCGTTGCTGTGGGCCGCAGCCCGCAGCGACGGGTGGGAGGCAGGGAGGCTGCGGTGGGCTGCCGGGGGGGTTCGCCTGGACTGTTTCTTTCTTTAAAAAAAAAAAAAATGGCCCTGGCCGGTGTGGGTCAGTGGATAGAGCATCAGCCTGCAGACCAAAGGGTCCCGGGTTCGATTCCGGTCAAGGGCACGTACCTCGGTTGCAGGCTCCTCCCGGGCCCGGGCCCTGGTCGGGGTGCGTGCAGGAGGCAGCCCATGGATGTGTTTCTGTCACATCCATGTTTCTCTCTGTCTCTCCCTCTCTCTCACTCTCCCTGAAAGTCCATGGGAAAGTAAAAATAAATGAAATTAAGTTAAACAGGGTGTTTTGCATGGTTTCATATGAATTTCTCTTTTTTTAAAAAAAAAAATATATTTTATTGATTCTTTTACAGAGAGGAAGGGAGAAGAATAGAGAGTTAGAAACATGGATGAGAGAGAAACATCGATCAGCTGCCTCCTGCACACCCCCTACTGGGGATGTGCCCGCAACCAAGGTACATGCCCTTGACCGGAATCGAACCCGGGACCCTTGAGTCCACAGGCCGACGCTCTACCCACTGAGCCACACCGGTGAGGGCCGAATTTCTCTTGTGCAGTAGGTGAGGCTCAGCATGTTTTGGCATGCGTGACTCTGGTTATATCTACTTTCATGTAACTTCCCGCGCGCCCCAAGGTTGTGGGTTCGATTCCCGGTCACGGCACAGACCTCGGTTGCTGGTAGGAGTTGGAAAGCCCCGGGTACTATCCTGAGACAGGCTGGCCGCTGACCTGACATGAACCCCGCTGCCCGTGTGCCAAAGCGGCCAGACCCCAGGGCAGGCGGTGTGGACAGGGGCCGTGCGACCGCGTGGAGCTGCTCTCGGAAAGCAGGATCCAGAAGGGCCTGAGGCACCTTTGTCCGTGTTGAGCGAGAGGATTCTGTGCCCGCTGGCCGTGCTGAGCGAGGCAGCCGATGGCCAGGGTCATAGGCCAGCATTTCCGTCGCTCTGGGTTTCAGCACAGGTCACTGTTCTCCGTAAAAGAATCCACGGTTCTCTCTCATCATGGATGTTTCTCTCTCTCCGTCCCACTCCCTTCCTCTCTGAAATCAATTTAAAAAAATATATTTAAAAAAATACATTGGTGCCTCACTCTAAATGTCCATCTGCATTGCAATCGTGTCTTCCTTCCCTGGTGCCCAGCTTTGCCGATAGCGAGTTGAATCCGGTTCGAAATTTTGCTTGGTTACGCTGGAAAGTATATATTTTTATTTAAAATAATGTTTTATTGATTTCAGAGAGGAAGGAAGAGAGAGAGAAAAACATGGATCGGCTGCCTCCTGCACGCCCCCTGACTGGGGATGGAGCCCACAACCTGGGCCTGTGCCCCGACCGGGAATCGAACCCTGACCTCCTGGTTCACTGGTCGATGCTCAACCACTGAGCCACACGGGCTGGGCTCGATTGTACTTTTTCTCTCCGGGGAAAATAGCAGCTCTCTGTGTGCTACCCCGCTGCGGGATCGGTTTGTATAGACGTACACACGGGGCTGGGCGAAAGTAAGCTCCCCAGCATCATCCAGAAGACAGTCCTTAGTAAATAAATAATAAGCCGGGAACCGGCTGTGTGTCTCGCGCACTCACGGCTGTCAGTCTACTGGTGCCCACCCCGTAGCGCCATCCATCGGCCTTTGACGAAGGGCACGGTGTCCCCAGGGGCCAGATGGGGAGACCCACAGAGAGGCTGTCTGTCTGGCTGCGAGGCTGGGCTGGGCTGGGTGTGGCGTGGCTGTCGGGTGTGAGGGAGCCAGGCCCCCGGTGAAGGTCACCGCTGATCGCTCTCCCGAAGCCGGGGGTCCGAGGGGCCTGGCGTGATGGGGCCGGGCACCCGCCATCTGGAGCCGGGGAGGAATGACCGCGAGGGTCACCCCGGGGGTCACGCCGCCCTCCAGCCACGAGCATCTTCCCCGAAGGAAGAAAGGCTTGGATTTCACCGTAATCCGACCCAGAGATGAAACTGCTGCGCAGGCTGAGGCTCTGGAGCCGGAGCTGGCAAAGGCGGCAGCGTCCCCCGCGAGGAAGGCCTGGCGAGTCCGGGCTGAACCCCGCGGGCCCCGGGAGGGTGTGACCTGCGGGGAGGGTCCGTCCCCGTGGCCCCCCACCCCACCCCTCTGGCTTCGGCCACATGGGGACGCCCTGGAGGATGTCCCGGAAGGTCGTTAAGCAGTGATGAACAGGTCAGTAGCATCCTGGGGTTGACTTGGGTGTGTTCTGCAGAGAACTGTGCGTTGATAGATACATTTTTATTTTATTTTGTTGTTCTTATTATTTTCCTTCGTCCTCACCCAAGGATATTTTCCCATTGATTTTTAGAGGGAGTGGAAGGGAGAGGGAGAGACAGAGAGAAACACATGCATTGGTTGTCTCCCCCACAAGCCCTGACCAGGGCCCGGGCCCGGGAGGAGCCTGCAGCCGAACGAGGTGCATGCCCTTGACCGGAATTAAACCCGGGACCCTTTGGTCTGCAGGCCGGCGTTCTACCCACTGAGCCAAACCAGCCAGGACGATAGATATATTTTTACTGTGTGCCGCCCTGTGCGTGGAGACGACTGTGATTTTTTAAATGTTATGGGTGTGCAAATAAGACCTGCGTGTCTTTTATAGGGTGTACAGGGAATGCCACAGATTTTAAATCGACTGACCGTATTTAGTCATGTTTTCTTTGGTGAGGGTGAGAGAATTCAGTGTTGTATATATAAATATATAGAGAGAGAGCCCAGCTGGCACGGCGCAGTGGTTAAGCATCGACCTAGGAACCAGGAGGTCAGGGTTCGATTCCCGGTCAGGGCACAGGCCCGGGTTGCGGGCTCGATCCCCAGTGTGGGGCGTGCAGGAGGCAGCCGATCCATGATTCTCTCTCCTCATGGATGTTTCTCTCTCTCCCTCTGAAACCAAGAAAAATATATTTTAAAGAAACAAAAGCCTTTCTAACGATTCCCATGAGCCAGCAGTGATGGTCAGGCAGCCTGTGTGCGCTTCCCTCCACCCAGGTGCCGGGGACATGGGCAGCAAACTGGCCACACCGGATGGCGACCCCGGCGGGCGGCGTCCTGGGATGGAAGACATTCACGCCGCGTACAAGCGGGGAGACCCCAGCACAGCCCGCCACCTTCTCCGGGAAGCCTGTGAAGAGTGCGCCTCCCAGCGGGAAAAGGTAAGGTCCAAGCCGGACCCTCCGGCCGGAACGGGGCACCCGGCGTGGACGAACCCGATTATAGACCCAGGTTATAGACACACAGTATACTAACATCAAATTACTGGTGTGTTGTTGTTTTTTAAAATATATTTTTATTGATGTCAGAGAGGAAGGGAGAAGGAAAGAGAGAGAGAAACATCAATGATGAGAGAGAATCATGGACCGGCTGCCTCCTGCACGCCCCCTACTGGGAATAGAGCTCACAGCCTGCACATGTGCCCTGACCAGGAATTGAACCGTGACCTCCTGGTTCAGAGGTTGCAAAGATCAATCACTGAGCCACTAGGGCTGGGCTGGAGTGGCTTTCTTTGCAGACGGGTTTGGGAGGTAGAGGTATGGGGCCGGGGCTCCTCATTTTGCACTGTTTATGCTGTTGGAATTAATTTTTTTGGAGGGATTAATCCTCACCCGAGGATATTTTTCCATTGATTTTTAGAGAGAGTGGAGGAGAGAGGGAGAGACAGAGAGGAACATGGATGTGAGAGAGACATATCAATTGGTTGCCTCCTGCACGAGCCACGACCTGGGCCCGGGCCAGGGAGGAGCCTGCAACCGAGGCACGTGCCCTTGACCAGAATCGAACCCGGGACTCTTCGGTCCGCAGGCGGACGCTCTATCCACTGAGCCAAACCAGCTAGGGCATGTTTTTTAAAAATATCTTCGAGTGAGGATTTTTTTTAAAAAGATCGTCATTTTAAAGGTGATTGATATTAACATGACAATCACTGATGAACTCCTTTGCCTTTTTGGGGGGCCACGTCTTGGAAATCGCATGTGCCTTACACCGTTGGCACCTCGGGGCCACATTTCAGGTCCTCAATAGCCGCGCGTGGCCAGGAGGGAGCGCCCTCCCCCACAGCTCGGCGCTAGCCTTCCCCGGGGGGCTCGGTAAAGCACGCAGAGACGATTCTCTCGGCGATTTCCCACAGCGCTGGCCTCCCCGGGGCCCTCTTGCTGTTTGCTTTGACCAGGGCCAGCTCCTGAGCATCGCAGCGGCCTACGGGGACCTGGAGACCGTCCGCTATCTTCTCACCGAGAGGCAGGTGGAGCTGCCCACCGAGCCCACGGACGACAACCCCGCGGTGGTGGCGGCGCACTTCGGGCACACGGAGGTCGTGCAGGAGTTGCTCGAGTCTTTCCGAGGTAAGTCCCAGGACGTGAGCTCTTCCCCGCCCCTCAGGGGCCCCTCTTCTTTAGGAATCAGACAGGCATGGGGCGGGGGCTGCACCCCAAAAGGCTTATCTCTTCTTCTCACCTTTACCCATGCTGAGTTCCGGTGCTTACACTGTAGGCATCTATGTGCCTTTTTATAAAATCTAATCGAGAATTCCCATGGCCCGCTCTCCCCGCCGATTCCCCTCTGGTTTACATTTCGCGTGAATGTGCTACATTTGTTCCAACGGTTGAGCCTATATTGATAACATTACCACTCACCAAAGTCCTTTTCATCACTGAATCCTGTTCCATGTTTTGGATGTGCCGTCTGATGTTGCTTTTTTAGTAGCAAGTGATTTTTTTTCTTCTGGGAGACTCAGGGTGCTCTGGTCTCCTTTAATTTCCCATGGTGGCCTCGGATCTGCAATACCGTACAAGTGCAGGCATCGCTGCAGTTATAGGCTGAGGCATTGCCTTACCAGTGGTCATTGAAAATGAGGATTATTTTGGGGGAGTGTAGAGCAGGCTTCAAGGATGTGCAACAGTGGTGCCACACGGGGCCCTTTGCTTGCAAGGGCCCCCCACACTTGGGTCCGACGCTCAACCACTGAGCCACGCCAGCCTGGCACAGTATCTCATGTTCTGAATGCTGCCTTCTCTCCCTTGGCATTATGGGATGAGCAGGTGGGTTTGTGATAATACGCAGATTCAGAGGGACTGTTCCAGAAAAACGCGATCAAACTCGGCAGAAGCGAATTCCATCTGGAAACAGGACAGCTGGGTTTCATTGATGATCCAGGGGGGCGGTCAGCGTAGGGGCCACCAGTGCCATTTGGGGCCACTGTCCCTTTGCCCTTCTGTCTCCCGCCAGGTCCTTGCAGCCTCCAGCGGCTGCTGAACTGGATGCTGGCCCTGGCTTGTCAGCGAGGCCACCTGGGGCTGGTGAAACTCCTGGTCCTGACGTACGGGGCCGACCCCGAGAGCTACGCGGTCAGGAAGAACGAGTTCCCTGTCATTGTGCGCTTACCCCTGTACGCGGCCATCAAGGCGGGTGAGTCCCCCGCTCAGTCCTGCCCCTGGGAACTGGCATGGTTCTGAGGCATGAGACAGTGTCTCCTCCCTACCCCCGCCTGTCAGTTACCTGCGTGGAGACATAACAACTCCTGCTATTTGTTTTTTTGTTGGTTTGTTTGTTTAACATGTTTTTATTGATTTCAGATAAGAAGGGAGAGGGAGAGGGAGAGAAACATCAATGAGGAGAGAGAATCACTGATCAGCTGCCCCCTGCACGCCCCCTTCTGGGGATCAAGCGTACAACCCGGGCATCAAACCAGTGACCTCCTGGTTCATAGGTCGATGCTCAACCACTGAGCCACCAAATGTCTGCATCCTCCCTTATTCCTGCCCAGTGTCACCCGGTCAAGGGGATTTCAAGGACAGCAACCGGCTGTGGCCAGTGGCACCGTTGCAGGCGGCCCTGCAAAGGGCAGAGTCCCAGACACATTCACACTGATCGGTGGATCCGGGAGGTTATAGAGACCTGAACCAGCACAAGTTGAACATGTTTCGTTCTTCGTGGCGGTGTGCCTCAGCGCCCCCTCCTGGCCACGTGTGGTTGTTCAGGATGGGGGCGACGTCGGAGACATCCTGAGGGTCCCACGTCTGCCCCCCAGGGAATGAAGACATCGCCATCTTCCTGCTTCGCCACGGCGCTTTCTTCTGCTCCTACATCCTACTGGACAGTCCCGAGCCCAGCAAACACCTGCTCCGGAGACACTTCATCGAGGCCAGCGCCCTGCCCAGCAGCTGTTCAGGGAAAGTGGTGAGTAGTCCCTGCCCGTGGATAAGCCGAGAGAGAAGACGGGAGAGAGCCCGGCCGGTGTGGCTCAGTGGTTGAGCGTCGACCTATGAACAGTGAGGTCGCGGTTCCATTCCCGGTCAGGGCACAGGCCTGGGTTACAAGCTCGATCCCCAGTTGGGGGCGTGCAGGAGGCGGCCGATCTGGCTCTCTGTTCTAGATAGATGGGCAGTTATTCCAGCAGAATTTGTACAATGAAGCTTTCTTGTCCCTGTGAATTGAAATGTCACCATCGTCACTTTCCCCCAAGATGTACCTGTGTGCCTCACGAGGTCCCGGTACTGGTCTCCTGGCCTCTTACTCTGTTAATGCGAGTTTTCTATTTGCTATTTGATTTTTCTCAGCACTATCTTGACTGCTGCTATATACGTATTTGTTCTCCCGTTTTGCACATTTTTCGCGGCGACTGGATCGACGCTCATTTCTGTCCTTCAATGACATTGTGTCGTTTTCTCCATGAAGGCCCCAGGCCTGTGTTGCTCATTTGTGTCTCTTTATTGATTTAGGCGCTATTTGCACGGAAATATATAATTCTTTATTATCCCCTTTTCCGACCGACCTGATGGTACTGGTCTGGAGAGAAGTTCTTTAGTTTCTTGTTTGTTGGTTTGGTTGCTTTTTAAAAATAACTTATGTTTATTCATTTCAGAGAGGAAGGGAGCGGGAGAGATACAGAAATATCAGTGATGAGATTCATTGATCAGCTGCCTCCTGCACGCCCCCTACGGGGGAACGAGCCCACAACCCAGGCATGTGCCCTAATTGGGATTCAAACTGTCACCTCCTGGTTCATAGGTCAGTGCTCAACCATTGAGCCACACCGGCCGGGCTTCTCTTATTGAATCTAATAGTTTTTAGAAGAGTTCCTGGGGGGGTTTTAGGTATCGGATCAAGTCACCTGCAAATTGCAAACAGGTTTGTCTCCTCTAATATTTAGACAACTTTTTTGAGTTGATGTCTTACTGTGAATAACTAGACATTTTGAAAGTGGAATCATTGTGATGGTAGATCTGTCTGTCTTGTTCCTGATTTTAAAGGTCTTGCCTGCAGCAAGTTAGGGGCGTTTGCTGTAGATTTTCTGGAAAATAGATTATTGTTATATGCAGGTAGTTTCCATGTTATTTCTTTTTGCTCAGAGCTTTTATTAGGAAAAGTTTGCTGAATGATGTCAAACCCCATTTCTATACTTCTGGAGGTTTTCTGCTTTGTTTATTCATGGAATGAATGAGGGTGATGGATGTTGGCTCTCTAACTTCTGTAATAAATGCTAATTGGCTTTTTTGCTGTTGAATTGGACCCACTGATATTTTATTGACGATTTTTTTGCATCGGTAACGTTTCGCTGAACGGGTCTACAGTTTTGTGTTGTTTTTACGAGACGTTGCATAAGGCTACGTGAATTTGACAAAACGACTTCGGGAACTTTCCGTCTTATTCAGGAAGTTTCATTAGAACTTGAATTGTTAAGGGTGACATTAAGCCCGGCCAGTGTGGCTCAGTGGTTGAGCATCTACCTATGAACCAGGCGGTCTCGGTTCAATTGCCGGTCAAGGACACAGGCCCGGGTTGCGGGCTCGATCCCCAGTAGGGGGTGTGCAGGAGGCAGCCGATCCATGATTCTCTCTCAATCATGGATGTTTCTATCTCTCTCTCTCCCTCTCCCTTCCTCTCTGAAATCAATAAAAAAATATATATATTTTAAAGAAAGAAGTAGTTGGCATCTACACTGAGTGGCCAGATTATGATGCCCACCCCATCAGTGCTTCATTGACACTTCCAAAAACACTGAATATTGAAAACTTCCTCAGCAAAGACTCTCCAGGTTTTATTATTATTATTATTTGCATAATTCATTCACTTCATTGTACTGATGGGGTGGTCATCACAATCTGGCCACCCAGTGTATATCTGTGATCAGACACAGAGAGACGACGTGGCTTCCCTTCTCCTTGGCCCTGCGGCGTAGACTCCGAAGAGAAAATGAAAGTGCAGAGCAGCTGGAGTCAGCAGGGCTCGCTGGGCTTCCCCAGAGCACCTGGGACTTTTTTCTTATTATTCAAGTGACTTTCAAAAGGCGAGCACCTTGCAGGGGGAGTGTCCGGCTGCCCGGGGTCTCGAACCTGGGAGGGCACAGTCCTTCTGAGCTGCCGGCGGAAGGGAGGGTCCGTTCACAGGGTCCAGCGATGAGTCAGGAGCCAGAGGTAAGTGTTCCTGCCCCTCCAGGTGCCCAGTGGGGGTGGAGCCGGCATTTGGGGTTCGGAATGTCAGGCGAGGGCAAGGCATGAGAAGGGTGCTTTGCCGCCAGGTATGTACAAGGCCGGGAAACGCCCTTGACTTCACTGACAGTGACCTTGCTGAAGTAGTTGTCTCATTCTTGAGTGTGTGTGTGTGTGTGTGTGTGTGTGTTAACCTCACCCAAGGGTATTTTTTCCCCCCATTAATTTTTAGAGAGCGTGGAGGGGAATGAGAGAGAGAGAGAGACAGCAATGTGAGAGAGACACAACAATTGGTTGCCTCCTTCACACGCCCCACCGGGGCCAAGCATCGAACCTGCAACCCAGGGACATGCCCTCGATGGGGAATCAAACCTGCCATTGCTCAGTGTGAGGGCTGGCGCTCTATCCACTGAGCCACACGAGCCAAGGCAATTTTTTTTTTCTGATTCTTTTTAGAGAGAATGGAAGGGAGGGAAGGTGGGGGGAGAGAGAGATGTGAGAGCCACACTTCTGTTCGTTGCCTCCCTCACACGCTCCAACCGTACCTGCAACCCAGGTACGTGTCCTTATAACCGGGAATTGAACCCGCGGCCCTTCCGTGCACAGTCCGACGCTCTATCCAGTGGGCCACACTGGCCAAGGCGAGTTGGTATTTTTTTAATGTCATCGTGCTGCCTCTGTGGAGACAGGCCGGTGGAGCCCAGAGCCCTCCTGCATGTCTCCGTGCCTGGCATCGCCTGGTTCTCAGGCTTCTAGAACCTTCCTCGGACAGCAGACAGGGGACTGCCGAGAAACCCCCGTGGATCTCCACTGTCCGCTGAGGTTTTTAGCGTGTGTGTTGTTTAATATGTTTTCATTGCTGTCAGAGAGGACGGGAGAGGGAGAGAGGGGTAGAAACATCATTGATGAGAGAGAATCATCGATGGATCGGCTGCCTCCTGCACGCCCCACACTGGGGATCGAGCCCACAACCCAGGCCTGTGCCCTGACCGGGAATCGAACCGGGACCTCCTGGTTCGTAGCTTTGAGAGGGTGTAAGACAGTGGTTCTCAACCTTGTGGCCCTTTAAATACAGTTCCTCCTGTTGGGACCCAACCATAAAATTATTTTCGTGGCTACTTCGTCACTGTCATGTTGCTGCTGTGATGAATCGTCATGTAAATATCTGATAGGCAGGATGGTCTTAGGCGACCCCTGTGAAAGGGTCGTTGGACCGCCAAAGGGGTCGCGACCCACAGGTTGAGAACCGCTGGTGTAAGCGATGGGGCGGGTGCGGAGTCTGATGACTTTAGCTCAGGAGTTGCAGACAAGACACGCAGCGCCACCTCGTGGCCAGAGCGGGAAGTGCGCCACCGCCGCCGATGTTGAACAGCAAACTCATGGCCATTGACGGGTGTCAGCCCGCGGGTGGCACGGTCCCGTCTGGGGAGCGCTGACGTCTGTCTGTCTGTCTCTCTGACCCGCCCAGCCTCTCCGTGTGAAGTGGGCCCACCTCAAGCTGCCCTGGGTGGACATCGACTGGCTCATCGACATCTCCTGCCAGATCACGGAGCTGGACCTATCGGCCAACTGCCTGGCCTCCCTCCCGTCCGTCGTCCCCTGGGGGCTCATCAACCTGCGGAAGCTGAACCTCTCGGACAACCACCTGGGCGAGCTGCCCGGCGTGCAGTCCTCCGACGAAATCATCTGCTCCAGGTGGGCCTCCCTCGTGGCCGGGGCGCGGGGGGGCGTGAGCCGGGGGAGGGTGGAGTCTGCACCCCAGTTGCTGGCACCAGCCTCTGCTGCCTCTGGTCCCTGGCTGTGTGTGTGTTTTTATGTTTTTTTTTTTAATATTTTTTATTGATTTCAGAGAGGAAGGGAGAGGGAGAGAGAGAGAGAAACATCAATGATGAGAGAGAATCATGGATCGGCTGCCTCCTGCACGCCCCCCACTGGGGATCAAGCCCGCAACCCCGGGCATGTGCCCTTGACTGGAATCGAACCCGGGACCCTTCAGTCTGCAGGCTGACGCTCTATCCACTGAGCCAAACTAGCTAGGGCTGTGTGTTTGTTTTTAAAATGTATTTTTATTGATGTCAGAGAGGAAGGGAGAGGGAGAGAGAGAGGGAAACATCAATGATGGGAGAATCATGGATCAGCTGCCTCCTGCACGCCCCCTACTGGGGATCAAGCCCGCAACCCGGGCACGTGCCCTGACCGGGAATCGAACTGTGACCTCCTGGTTCCTAGGTCGACGCTCTATCCACTGAGCCACACCAGCTGGCCTCTTGCTACATTTCGAACGCACACCCTCCTTTAGCCTCCTGCACACGGAGAGAAAGGGCGGCCTCCGTGTCTGCAGGACCGGTTTCCCTCTTCCTTCTGATGCCTTCACTTCCTTCTCCCTCCCTCAGGCTCCTGGAAGTCGACATTTCCAGCAACAAGCTGGCCCACCTCCCGCCGGGGTTCTTGCACCTCTCAAAGCTGCAAAAGCTGACAGCTTCGAAAAACTACTTAGAGAAATTGTTTGAGGAAGAGAGTGGTATGTCCCGCCCTCCGTCACCTGACCTGATGGGTCGTCTCCTTCCTGGTGCGGATCTTTTGACCAAGGCACCCTTTCCCTCCCCCGTCTAGCCACCAACTGGATTGGTCTGCGGAAGCTGCAGGAGCTGGATGTTTCTGATAATAAACTGACCGAGCTCCCGGCGACGTTTCTTCATTCTTTCAAGTCACTCCACTGCCTGAATGTCTCCAGAAACAAGCTGAAGGTGTTCCCAGATGCCTGGGCCTGCCCGTTGGTGAGTCTCAGACCGGAAATCCCAGAGGGCTCAGTGCGCTGCCTGCGGAGTGTCACCCACCAGGAATGTCACTCAGGCCCGGCTGGCGTGGCTCAGTGGGTTGAATGTCGATCTAGGAACCAGGAGGTCACCAGTTCAATTCCCGGTCAGGGCACAGGCCTGTGTTGCAGGCTCAACTTCCAGTGTGGGGCGTGCAGGAGGCAGCCGATCCATGATTCTCTCTCATCACGGATGTTTCTATCTCTCTCTCCCTCTCCCTTCCTCTCTGAAATCAATAAAAAATAGGTTTAAAACAAAAAAGAAAAGAAAGACATGTCACTCAGCATCCAGCAACTGAGTGTCTGAGGCAGGTAACTCACCGGAAAGCCAGACCATGTGGCTCTGGGCTTGAGATTTGCACCGTCAGACCCACAGACGTTTCCATGGTTACAGCGTGCAGATGGGGCAGAGGATGGCTTCTGCCCAAGGAAGGGGGGCTCGGTCCCTTTCAGACGGCTCTAAACTAAGAATGAAGCAGAGCCCTGGCCAGTGTGCCTAAGTGGTTAGAGTAGCAGCCCTCCCGCCAAAGGGTCACGGGTTCGATTCCCAGTCCAGGGCACGTACCTGGGTTGCAGGTTCGTCCCTGGCCCTGATTGGGGCGCGTACAGGAGGCAACCAATGGATGTGTCTCTCTCGTGTCGATGTGTCTCTCTCTGTCTCTCCTCCTCCCTCTTTTCCTTCCACTCTTTTTTTAAAAAAATACATTTTTATGGATTTCAGAGAGGAAGGGAGAGGGAGAGAGAGATCGAAACAGCAGTGATGAGAGAGGATCATGGATCAGCTGCCTCCTGCACGCCCCCCACTGGGGAGGGAGCCCACAACCCGACCTCCTGGTTCATCGGTCGGCGCTCAACCACTGAGCCACACCGGACAGGCCCTCCTGCTCTCCCTAAAAATCAATGGAAGACATCTCCTTGGGTCGAGGATTAACAAAACAAAACAAAAATAATAATAAAGAGGAAAGAATCCGCCTCCGTCGCACCGCCAACGAAATGGTGTTTCTGTTTCTTGGGAAGTTTGCTCGTTGGGGCGGACGGAACGGCAGAGGGAGTCTCTTCTCGCTGTGGGTTCAGAGCCAGGAAACTCGCCATCAGCAGCGCCGGCGTTTCCAGTTTAAACATCTGCGTGTGGGAATCCGGCTGCTCTCCAGAGCGCGGGCCTGAATGGTCCCATTATCTCCAAAGACAATGGGCCAGATGTTCTGGGCGGGAGGAGAAGGGCTAGGAGTCCCCCTCACCGCCCCCCCGCCCCCCTCCACCCCGTCTCCGTCCCTTCCTTGGAGCCAGGACGGGAAAACGAAGCAACCACAGTGTGTAGCCTCTTAGTGAACTGAGTCCTATTTGTCACGGAGCCATGGTGCAGCGGTCTTGTTGCTATTTTGTTGTTAATCCTCACCCGAGGCTATTTTTCCACTGATTTTTAGAGAGGGTGGAAGGGAGGGAGAGAGAGACACAGAGAGAGAAACATCCATGTGAGAGAGGCACATCGGTTGGTTGCCTCCTGCACGTGCCCCGACCAGGGCCGGGGAGCGAACCCGCAATGGAAGTACGTGCCCTTGACCGGGAATCGAACCCGGGACCCTTCTCTCAGCAGGCCAACGCTCTGTCCACTGAGCCAAACCGGCTAGGGCTAGAGGTCTGATTTTTTTTTAAATCAAATTTGGGAAGTCTTTCTCATCGGCAACGTCATGTTTACAAAGCAAATTCAGCCCGGGGCCGGTGTGGTGCAGTGGTTAGAGCGACGGCCCGTGTGCCCAAGGGTCGGATGTGCGTTTCCCGGTCAAGGCCACGTGCCCTGGGTTGCAGGTTCAATCCCCAGCCCCAGTCTGGGTGGGTGGGGGAGGCAACCAATGGATGTGTCTCTCTCACATCGATGTCTCTCTCTCTCTTTCACCCTTCCCACTTCCCATTCTCTCTAAAAATCCATGGGGGGAAAAATAGCTAATTCATGTCTTTCTCTTTCTCGGCAAACGGCTAGAAATGCTGCAAAGCATCCCAGAATGCCCTGGAGTGTCTGCCGGACAGAATGGCCGTGTTCTGGAAAAACCACCTAAGAGACGTGGATTTCTCGGAAAACGCACTCAGAGACGTCCCCCTGGGCCTCTTCCAGCTCGACGTGAGTCCCCGCGCCCCTCCCTGCCTCCCTCGCAGCGTCTGTGGGAAAACCACCCCGGTCGCTTCTCCCGTGGTTCCGAGGCACAAGGGGTGAAGGAAAGTTAAACACCTGTCCCCTGGCTGGTGTGGCTCAGTGGTGGAGCATCGACTTACGAACCAGGAGGTCACGGTTCGATTCCCGGTCAGGGCCCATGCCCGGGTTGGGGGCTCGATCCCTGGCCAGGCTAATTTCCTGCATCCTAAGACAACTCTCGAACCCACGCTATGGAATCTCGGTCAAGGTACATCGGTCATGACCTATGGCTGCCCTTGGCCGGGAAACTGACTTCTCTCATCGGCTCTCCCTTCCTTTAGCATTTTGAAAAAAGATATATATGTTTATTGATTTCAGAGAAGAAGGGAGAGAGAGAGAGAGCGAGAGAGAGAGAGAGAGAGAGAGAGAGAGAGAGAGAAACATCAATGAGGCGAGAGAATCATGGATCGTCAGCCTCCTGCACACCCCCTGATGGGGATCAAGGGTACAACCCGGGCATGTGCTCTGATGGGGGATCCAGCGTGACCTCCTGGTTCTTAGGTTGACGCTCAACCACTGAGCCAGGCCGGCCGGGCTCCCTTTGGCGGGTAACGGCGCCGTTAACTCCCTCCCTCTCTGCCCCAGGCCCTGGTGTCCTTGAAGTTGCAGGGCAACCAGCTGGTGGCCGTGCCCCCTGCGGAGAAGTGGACCTGCACGCAGCTGAAGACCCTGGATCTCTCCAGAAACCACTTTGGCAAGTAAGCGAGTCTCCGTCCCACAGGTTCTGAGTCCCGTGTGACCCCGCCCAGCAGCCCTTCAGGGTGGGTCTCTCTCTTCCTTGGTTCGTGGGCATCACGAAGCGACCCAGCTGGGGGCTTAAACAGCGGACATTTGCCCGGCTGGCAGGGCTCAGGGGTTGAGCGTCAACCTATGAACCAGGAGGTCACGGTTCGATTCCCGGTCAGGGCACAGGCCCGGGTTGCGGGCTAGGTCCCTAGTAGGGGCCGTGCAGGAGGCAGCCGATCCATGATTCTCTCTCATCATCGATATTTCTCTCTCTCTCCCCATCTTCCTTCCTCTCTCTGAAATCAATAAAAACATACTTTAACATAAACGAAGAAATAAAATGAATAAAGCAAAAAAACTTTTTTTAACGTTTTTGCCCATTGCTAAGCAATATGTATATAGGATGATTTTGAGAGAGAGAGGAGGAGGAGGAGAGAGAGAGGAACATTGATGTGAGAGAGACTGAATAAAAAGGTGAAAATCTCCCAGCTGGTGTAGCTCAGTGGTTGAGCGTTGACCTAGGAACCAGGAGGTCACCCGCCGGTTTGATTCCTGGTCGGGCATATGCCCGACACGTTTTAAAATAAATAAATACATAGTTTTGAAAATATACGGAAACTCAGCAGAATGTACACCCCAGTAGACGTGGTGAGATTCACTTTCCTCAAAGTGGCATCCGCTGGAGCGGACATTCCCGCCGGGCCCGCCCCGCTCACACCTGCCCGCAGTGGGAAGCCGGGAACCGGAAACCCGGAGTCAGGCCGGCCTTAGGTCGCCTTCTCCAGCCGTTTCTTTCCCCAAAGATTCAAACGTGCGCACGACCGGCGTCCTTCGCAGGCTGGGGGCACAGGAATCTCGGTGGAATTCTCCCCCTTCTCTCTGCAGGCTCGGGCATTATACAGTCCAGGCCCCAATAGTAAGGTCTTTGTCCTGCTTTCCTCAAATCTTGACTTTTTTTTTTTTTCCTTCTCCTCCCCACAGAAATGAAGATGGACTGAAAACAAAGCGCATTTCCTTCTTCACCACCAGGGGGCGCCAGCGGTCAGGGACTGAGACAGGTGTGTGTGTAGGTGCTGGTGATGAGGATGCTGGGGGTGATGAGGATGGTGGTACCCTGCTTTCTCCCGCAACCCGGGCATGTGCCCTGACCGGGAATCGAACCGTGACCTCCTGGTTCCGTGGGTCGACGCTCAGCCACTGGGCCACTGTGACATTCTTACAGCCACACTGTGGGATCCTGTGGAATCTACACGCAAGTACGGCCACCCTCGGTCCCCTAGGGCACCCCGCTGGGCTGGCATTCCGCGGGGAGTTAGGGTCTTTTCCCCCCGAACTCATCAGAGACAGAACTGTTTCGCTAGAATGTTAGAGCTGGTCGCACGACAAGGCCCGTTCAGCGGGGACTATTTCTAGGAAAACCAATTCGTGTTCATTCTCTTCTGTGAGGTGAGGTGGGGAGGCATAAGGTGGGGGGCGGAGTGTATGTAGGTACGCCAGCCTTGTTTTTTTAAAAAAAAAAAATATGTTTTTATTGATTACAAAGAGAGGAAGGGAGAGCGAGAGGGGGATGGAAACATCTGGAAAGTTGAGGCCCTCATCGGGGTGAACAGAAAGAGGCCCACCCTAGCCGGTGTGGCTCAGTGGATAGAACATTAGCCTGTGGACTGAGGGGTCCCGGGTTCGATTTTGGCCAAGGGCACGTACCTCGGCTGCAGGCTTAACCTGGTTGGGGCGTGTGCGGGAGCCAACCAGTTGATGTGTCTCTCTCACAGCGATGTGTCTCTCTCTCTCTCCCCCTCGCCCCCTCCCTTCCACTCTCTCTAAAAATCAATGGAAATATATCCTCAGGTGAGGGTTAACAAAGTTAAAAAAAAAAAGCAACTCATGGCACACCTCTTCCCTCAGTGCTGTTATGCTCTCGGGCTGTTGGGCCTCGGGGAAGGAATGAGCCATAAAAGATAACTTGTTTGCAGAAGGATAGTAAAATTCCAAGTGAATTCACGCGCGCTCAAGTAGTCCTATTTGTGCAGCGGCCTCGTCCAAAAATAATTTGGAACGGCCGATTTTCCGGTAACATGCAGGCGCGCGGAGTCATAAATAACTTAGGGATAAATCCTTGCCGTTCATAAACGCCCCGAGCCGTGCTCCCCCCCAAGCCGGGCCAGGCGATCCGGGGCAGGTGCCGCCTCCGTCTGGAGCAAAGGTCCTTCTCCACCCGTCTGTCCCTCAAAGAGGCTTCGTAAACACCAGGGCGAAACGGTAACGTTGGAAGGCGCCCCGGCCGACACTCAGATGCGTTTCCCGCGGAGAAAGCCAGCCTTTTCTCTTCGTGAGGGTCTTCCGGGTGAACGAGGGCAGGTTGAGGGTGATCATTCTTTTTCATTGAAAAAAAAAGAGACTTTTTAAAAATATATACGCACATATACAGTTTTATTGATTTCAGAGTGGAAAGGAGAGGGAGAGAGAGAGAGAAACATCCATGATGAGATGAGAGGGAATCATGGATCGGCTGCCTCCTGCACGCCCCCTACTGGGAATCGAGCCCGCAACCCCGGGCACGTGCCCTGACCGGGAATCGAACCGGTGACCTCCTGGTTCCTAGGTCGACCCTCAACCCCTGAGCCACAGCCTTTCGTCTTCGTGATGGTCTTCGGGGTGAGTGCGGGCAGGCTAACGTTGGTCATTCTTTTTCATTGAAGAAAAGAAAAAGGAAGGGTTTTGAGGGTTTTTTGTTAATCCTCACTTGAGGACATTTTCCCATTGATTTTTAGAGAGAGGAGAAGGCAGGGGAGACAGAGAGAGAGAAACATCGATGTGAGAGAGACACATCCACTGGTTGCCTCCCCCACACACCCCAGCCAGGGCCAGGGATTGAGCCTGCAACCGAAGTACGTGTCCTTGGCTGGAATCAAACCCAGGACCCTTTATCTGTGGGTCGACGCTGTGTCCAGTGAGCCAAACCAGCTCCAGGGCGATCATTCTTTCTAATTAAAAAAAAAAAAAAAAAAAAGGCTTGCCCTGGCTGGTTTGGCTCAGTGGACAGAGCGTCGGCCTGCAGACTGAAGGGTCCCAGGTTCGATTCCGGTCAAGGGCATGTACCTGGGTTGCAGGCACATCCCCAGTAGGGGGTGTGCAGGAGGCAGCTGATCGATGCTTCTCTCTCATCGATGTTTCTAACTCTCTACCCTCTCCCTTCCTCTCTGTAAAAAATCAATAAAAAAAAAAAAAGATTACCTTTAAAAAAAAAAAGGCATTTTGAACATTTTCGTATGCAACAGGGTAGTCCCGTACCAAGCCATCTCTACGTCAGTTGCGTGCTTATTCCCATAGGGGGCGCTGCACGGCGCCCCATTCAACACTGTCGCTAACCAGGCAGCCTTCCGGGCACCGGTTTGGGTATTCCGCTATCGTCTCCCCCGGAGCAGTCTCAGATGCCAGCTACCCTGTTCCCACTGACTCTGCAGCTCCGTGTGTGGGAAAAGCCAGAGTTGGGGGGTGGATGGAGGGGGCGGGTGCTGAGATGAGGGCAAGGGGGCAGCCTTTCAGCCCAACAAGAGCGTCTGGCTTCTCCCTCTCACTGGTCTGGCGGAGACCCAGGCAGCAGGGCTTTGGGCAGCGGCTTCAGCTTGAAAACTCTGAGCCGAAAGGGACCCTCTGGGGCCGGCCCCCCCCCTCCCCTCCCCTCCCCCCGCCCCCGCCCCAGGAGGGAGGGTAAGGCGTTTCAGAGATTCTGCCGAAACCCAGCCCGCTGACCCCCATTAGTGTGGGTTTCCAGGCCCGGAGCCAGGTTCTCTCCACTCACACACACTCGGGGCCCTGAAGACACAGGTCGGATGTGACCGTCATGCTGATCGCGTCATCACCCGGATGAATGAAATCGCTTAAATGCGAGAGAGTTGGCCTGTGGGGTGTTTGTTTGTTTGTTTGTTTGTGATAAATGTATTTTTATTGCTTTCAGAGAGGAAGGGAGAGGGGGAGAGAGAAACATCAATGACGAGAATCATGGATCGGCTGCCTCCTGCACGCCCCCTACTGGGGATGGAGCCTGCAACCCGGGCACGTGCCCTGACCGGAATCGAACCTGGGACCCTTTAGTCTGGGGCTGAGGCTCTATCCACTGAGCCACACCGGCCAGGGCCTTGTTCCCCCATCTTGGCCGCATCTCCAAGGCCACCTGGTGGACGACACGCTAGGATTAGCATCCCTAGGCCAGCGGCAGGAGTGTCGTACTCTGAGGTGGGGCCAGTTCACCCCCACGTGGCCCCCCGGGCCAGGATGGTCCCCGGGTCCGTCTCAGACGCGCCCCCCGCTCTCCCGTGTCTCCGCAGCGTGCCCGCTGGACTTCCCGGCCTTCCTCAGCGAGTCCCTGGAGGTCCTCTGCCTGAACGACAACCACCTGGACGCCGTGCCCCCCTCGGTGTGCCTGCTGAGGAGCCTGTCGGAACTCTACCTGGGAAAGTAAGTGTGCGGCCCTGGGAGGCAGAGTGTCTGTCCGTCCGTCCATCATCTACCTGCAGACACAGCCAGGAGTCTGGGAGGGGGCATTCAGGGATGGGGCTTAGTCAAGGACAAGCAGGAGGGGACGCAGGGGGGAGGGATGCAATGCGGCCGCCAGGGCTACTCTGCTCAGTTATAAAGAGAAGAACTACCTGGCCAGCGTGGCCCAGTGGTTGAGCCAGCAGGTCCCGGTTCGATTCCCAGTCAGGACACATGCCTGGGTTGTAAGCTTGATCCCCAGTAGAGGGCGTGCAGGAGGCAGCCGATCAGTGATTCTCTCTCATCATTGATGTTTCTATCTCTCCCTTCCTCTCTGAAATCACTAAAAATATTTAATACACACACACACACACTCTAGAGGCCCGGTGCACAAAATTCGTGCACAGGTAGGATCCCTAGGCATGGCCAGCTATCAGGGCTGATCTGTGGAGCAACCAACGGGGCAATCAGGGAGCCCCTGCTGGCACCCGGCTTGGCTGGCCTGGGGTCTGCGGGCTGGGGGCAGCTCCTGCGTTAAGCGTCTGCCCCCTGGTGGCCAGTGTGCCTCATAGCCACCAGTCGTTCTGCCAGTCCTTCTGCAGTTTGGTTGATTGCATATTAGGCTTTTATTATATAGAATGGTGTTGCTGTTTTTAAAGAGAAGAACTATTCATTCATGCTTTCCTTTACTGAACACCTCTTGGCAGGCACTGCCCCGGGGTTCAGACAGTGTGAAAATCTCCATGAAAAAACTAAATGATTCAAGTTGCTCTGCCTTTTTGAAAAGAGGTAGTGATTGAGTATCTTTTATTTTTAATATATTTGTATTGATGTCAGTGAGGAAGGGAGAGGGGGAGAAGAGAGAGAGAGAGAGACATCTATGATGAGAGAAACTCATGGATCGGCTGCCTCCTGCACACCCCACACTGGGGATTGAGTACATGACCTGGTGCATGTGCCCTGACCGGGAATCGAACCAGTGACCTCCTGGTTCCTAGGTCGACGCTCAACCACTGACCCACGCCCTCAGGCCGTGATTGATCATCTTTAAGGTAGTGACCAGACGAGAAAGTGGGGGGAGGAGGCCCAGTACTAAGCCACAGGGATGTGCAGAAGGCAGGGCTGCTCTTCCCACCCCCCCGCCTTTCCAGGGAGAACGGCTTTGGGATGAGGGTTTCAGTGGGATGCTCAAACTAGGGGCCCACGACATTGGGCTCGGGGTGCAGGCTCTCAGTGGCCCCTGCGGGCCTCTGAGGCTGACCAGCTGCTGCATGTGCGTGTGCGTGTGCGTGTGCGTGTCCTGTCCTCAGCAATCCAGGCCTGAGAGAGCTCCCTCCCGAGCTGGGGCAGCTGGGCAACCTCTGGCAGTTGGACATCGAAGATCTGAACATCAGCAACGTGCCCGCGGAGATCAGGAAAGAAGGTAAATAAACCGACGAAACAGAGTAGATCCAGAGACATAGATAGAACCCAGGGAACAGCCTGCGGAATCTCAGAGTCTCAGAGGGGAGGTGAGGGTGCGGGGAGGCGGGGGAGAGAGATTAACGGGGAACTTGCATGGCCCACAGACACGGGCAAGAGTGTGGCCAAGGCTTGGGGGGGGCGGGTGCAGGGAGGAGGGGGTGAATGGGGAGAAAAACATAAAAACAACAACAAAAGGGACATCTGTAACACTTTCAAAAAATTAATAGAAGTCGGGCCCAGACGGTGTGGCTCAGTGGTTGAGCATCGACCTATGAACCCGGAGGTCACGGTTCGATTCCCGGTCAAGGGCACACGCCCGGGTTGCGGGCTTGATCCCAGGAGGGGGCGTGCGGGAGGATTAGGGTTAGCGTTAGACGTTGGGTCCGACGGTCTAGCCAGGGGTGGGCAAACGTTTTGACTCGAGGGCCACAATGGGTTCTTAAACTGGACCGGAGGGCCGGAACAAAAGCACGGATGGAGTGTTTGTGTGAACTAATATAAATTCAAAGTAAACATCATGACATAAAAGGGTACGGTCTTTTTTTTTTTTTAGTTTTATTCATTTCAAACGGGCCGGATCCGGCCCGCGGGCCGTAGTTTGCCCACGGCTGGTCTAGCCACTGAGCCAAACCGGCTAGGGCAGTGGTCGGCAAACCGCGGCTCGCGAGCCACATGCGGCTCTTTGGCCCCTTGAGTGTGGCTCTTCCACAAGATACCACGTGCAGGCACGCACATACAGTGTGATTGAAACTTCCCGGCCCATGCGCAGAAGTCGGTTTTACGAGAGGAGAGAGACGAAACAAGTACACAAGATGCGTGTGGATGGGAGAGTTGGAAGGGGTCGACCTCAGCGAACGTACCTCCATCAGATGGAGGACGTTTTTAGCTAAGGCCGGCTTAGGAGTTACCCTAATGAAGTGAATAACAATGTACCTACCTATATAGTTTAAGTTTAAAAAATGTGGCTCTCAAAAGGAATTTCAGTCGTTGTACTGTTGATATTTGGCTCTGTTGACTAATGAGTTTGCCAACCACTGGGCTAGGGCTGCCATTGATTATTGGAGAGAGTAGAAGGGAAGGGGAGAGACAGAGAGAGAGAGATATGGACGTGAGAAAGAGACACACCGATGGGTTGCCTCCCTCCTGCACAGGCCCCCAACCGGGGGGGTGGGCTGGGGATCGATCCTGCAACCGGAGTCCGTGCCCTTGACTGGGAATCAAACCAGGGACCCTTCTGCTCAAAGGCCGGCGCCCTACCCACTGAGCCACCCTGCCCTGTGCCCTGTGCCCAGGCCCCAAGGCCATGCTGTCCTACCTGCGCGCCCAGCTGCGGAAGGCGGAGAAGTGCAGGCTGATGAAGATGATCGTGGTGGGGCCCCCGCGCCAGGGCAAGTCCACGCTGCTGGAGATCCTGCAGACGGGGCGCGCCCCCCAGCCGGGGCACGGCGAGGCCACCATCCGGACCACCAAGTGGGAGCTGCAGCGGCCGGCGGGCGCCAGAGCGAAGGTCAGGGACAGTCTGGGTGCAGAGGCCCCGAGGGAGGAAGGCAGCTTCCCCGGCCACCTCTCCCTCCTCCGCAGAGAGCCCGGGAGGCCCCCAGCCTGGGTCTGAGGCCCAGGACATGGGCAGGGCCCGCCCCCGGGTGCTGTTTCCACCCAGCTCTGGCCGAGGGCAGCAAATTTCTTTCTTTTTTAATATATTTTTACTGATGTCAGAGAGGAAGGGAGAGAGAGAGAGAGAGAAACATCCATGATGAGAGAGAACCATGGATCGGCTGCCTCCTGCACGCCCCGCACTGGGGATGGAACCCACAACCCGGGCATGTGCCCCGAACGGGAATCGAACCGTGACCTCCAGGTTCATAGGTCGATGCTCAACCACGGAGCCACACCGGTCGGACAAGGGCAGGGAATTTCTTAAATGTGACCTTGAAGTTTCTCTCTTAGAACTAAGTTGAGCCTCCGGGCCATTGACTCTTAGTCCTGGCTGTCAGTCAGATTTCTTTGATGAGCTTTTATGTATATTTTTAAAATATGTTGTTATTGATTTCAGAGAGAAAGGGAGGGAGAAGGAGAGAGAAACATCCATGATTCTCTCTCACCGTGGATGTGTCTATCTCTCTCTCCCTCTCCCGTCCTCTCTGAAATCAATAAAAATAATTTTGTTTAAAAAAAGGCAAACTATTGCCGAAACCGGTTTGGCTCAGTGGATAGAGCGTCGGCCTGCGGACTGAAGGGTCCCGGGTTCCATTCCCGGTCAGGGCGCATGCCTGGCTTGCAGGCTCGATCCCCAGTAGGGGGTGGTGCAGGAGGCAGTCAGTCCATGATTCTCTCTCATCATGGATGTGTCTCTCTCTCTTTTCCTCTCCCTTCCTCTCTGAAATCAATAAAAATATATGTTAAAAATAAAGAAAGAATAAAAAGGGCAAACTATTAAAAGAAAGAGAGAAAGGACAACCCCCCTCGTCTCTGGAACGCGGAGCCCGTCCCTCCGGCCAGCGGAGAACAGCTGGCCGCGTTCATCTTTCTCCAAAGGCAGGTCAGGGGGGGCCCGGGCAGCTTCGTGGGAAGGCGCTGGGCTCCAGAAAACCGCAGCCGGGGCCGCGCGGGCCAGACGCTGACCTCACAGGGCGATAGAGAAACCGCCGTGTACACAGCCCTTCCCAGCAGCCCAACAGGCAGCTTTTGTTTCCCTGCCTCCTGGGGGGGCGCCGCCCTCTGACCTACGTGACTGCGTCCGGAGGCCCCTCTCCTCTGCCTGGGCCTGGGCCTTGGCCTTGGCCTTGACCGCCCGGCTCCCAGCAGCAAGCTGTCTCCCAACCGTCTGCAGCCCAGAGGCAGGCCAGACAATGCCCCCCAATGTTCCGCAGACACAGGCGGACTCGGGGCTCAGGGCCCGGCCCCCTGCTCCGTCAGCAGGAGATAGAGGCCCCCCCCTAAATCCACCTGTACCCTCCCGCCCCCCGGGGTCCCTTTCCCTCTCACTTGGGTTACGGTCTCTGAGCACAAAGAGGGAGACGGGCAAAGGTTTCCATGGTCCGGCCTTTTGTTGTTTTTTTGCTAATCTGCACCTGAGAATTTTGTTTTTTATTGATTTCTTTCTTTTTTCTTTTGGTTAATCCTCACCTGAGGATATTTTTCCATTGATTTTTAGAGAGAGAGGAAGAGAGAGAGAGAAACATCGATGTGAGAGAGACTCATCAATTGTTTGCTTCCTGCACTTGCCCGGACCAGGGCCGGGGATCGAGCCTGCAACTGAGGTACATGCCCTTGACCGGAATCGAACCCAGGACCCTTCAGTCTGCAGGCCATTGCTCTATCCACTGAGCCAAACTGGCTAGGGCTCCATTAATTTTTTTTAATATATTTTTATTGATTTTTTACAGAGAGGAAGGGAGAAGGATAGAAAGCTAGAAACATCGATGAGAGAGACATCGATCAGCTGCCTCCTGCACACCCCCCACTGGGGATGTGCCCGCAACCAAGGTACATGCCCTTTCCCGGACTCGAACCCGGGACCCTTCAGTCCGCAGGCCGACGCTCTATCCACTGAGCCAAACTGGCTAGGGCTCCATTCATTTTTTTTAGAGAGAGAGTGGAAGGGAAGGAGGGAGGGAGAGAGACGCATCGATTGGCTGCCTCCGGCACACACCCGGACCAGGGCCGGGGATTGGACCTGCCACCCAGGCACATGTCCTTGACCAGGAATCAAACCCGAGACCCTTGGTGTGTGGGGCGATGCTGTAACCACTGACCCACGCCGGCCGGGCTGTCGTGCCTGGTTTAGGCCCTAAAACACAGCGTTCCGCGCGATGGGCTGTCTGGATCTGGCCGCCTGGAACCCGGGTGTGTCATATGCCCCTCCCTGCCCCCGCCTTGTTGCTCAAGTAGGTTGAGTCCATCGAGTTCAGCGTCTGGGACATCGGCGGGCCAGCCAGCATGGCCACCGTCAACCAGTGCTTCTTCACCGACAAGGCCCTGTACGTGGTGGTGTGGAACCTGGCGCTGGGCGAGGAGGCCGTGGCCAGCCTGCAGTTCTGGCTGCTCAACATCGAGGTGAGAGACCCGGCCCCACCGTCTTTGGGCCTCGGACACCCCAGGGCCCGGCCGCTTCGCTAGAGCGCCCCCCATTGACAGAGAAGAAGAAAAAGGAGAAGAAATGGTCAGGAAGACGCGCTTGGCATCTTTTTTGTTGTTGTTAATCCTCAGCTGAGGGTATTTTTTCCATTGATTTTTAGAGAGAGTGGAAGGGAAGGACGAAGGGGGAGACAGAGAGAGAGAAACATCGATGTGTGAGAGAGACATCGATCAGCTGCCTCCTGCACGCCCCCCCTATAGGGTGTGCAGCCGAGGTACATGCCCTTGACCAGAATCGAACCTGGGACCCTTCAGTCTGCAGGCCGACGCTCTCTCCACTGAGCCACACTCACTAGGGCCCTTGTCCCTTCATTTAAGAGCCCCTCACTATTGGGTAAAAGGCGACAGGGCTCCCCTCTCAGGTGGAAAGGTGACAGACCCGTATGCAGCTGCACTGTCTGACGCGACCAGAAACCCAGCCCCCGGGGGAGTCCCGGGGGGGCCCCAGGCACCCCTCCGTCAGTGCCTGACAGCCCCTGGGGGTTTACAGACAGGCGTGCAGTGGGGGCCCTGGGTGAGTGACAGGCTCAGGGCCACAGGCGTCCAGGTGGGCGCACCTGCTCACCTGGCAGGGGGCTCCCCTCCCCGGTGCAGGCGACGGGGGCAGGTGCTCAGCCCAGCCTGGGGCCGGGGGGTCCTCTGTCGCAGGCCAAGGCCCCGAACGCCGTGGTGCTGGTGGTGGGAACCCACCTGGACTTGATCGAAAGCAAGTTCCGCGTGGAGAGGATCGCGACGCTGCGGGCCTACGTGCTGGCGCTCTGCCGCTCCCCCTCGGGGTCCCGGGCCACGGGCTTCCCAGACATCACCTTCAAGCACTTACAGTGAGTGTCCCAGGCCGTCTCGCTCCCTCTGACCTCACCTGTGGCTGTGGCTGTGGCTGTGGCTGCTGGTCCCTGTCTTGTCCACCTTCCCTGCAGTACCTGGTATCTGCCTGCAGGGGGCGCCGAACCAAGGGCTGGGCTCCTCTGGGGCATCTTCTGGCTTAAAGGGCTGCAGACCAGCCCTAGGGAGGGCAAGGAGCCTCGAGAGGTGTGGCAGGGCAAGGCACCGTCTCTGTGCGTCCTTCCTGGGTCACCCCACCAGCCCTGTGGCCAGCGCTGAGCCTGCACGGCCCATCCCATGTGGTTGAGCATCGACCCATGAACCAGGAGGTCACGGTTCGATTCCCGGTCAGGGCACTTGCCCAGGTTGTGGGCTCGATCCCCAGTAGAGGGCGTGGAGGAGGCGGCTGCTCAGTGATTCTCTCTCATCATGGATGTTTCTCCCTCCCTCTCCCTTCCTCTCTGAAATCAGTAAAAATTATATTTCGCTCTCACAGCGAGATTTCCTGCAAGACCCTGGAGGGCCTGGAGGGGCTGCGGCAGCTGATTTTCCACGTCACGTGCAACATGAGGGACGTGGGCAGCACCATCGGCTGCCAGCGGCTGGTGGGGAGGCTGGTGGGTACCGCAGGCTCCCTGGGCCCAGTGCAGGCAGCCTCTTGGGGGGAAAGGGAGGGATGGGCGGTGAGGCCTCCCACCTGCTCGGGGGCGCAGGAGGGCAACGGCCTGCCCACCTGCCCACCTGCCCACCTGCCCCAGGTCCCCAGGAGCTACCTGAGCCTCCAGGAGGCCGTGCTGGCGGAGCACCAGCGCCGCAGGCTGAGCGATGACGTGCAGTACCTGACGGACAGGCAGCTGGAGCAGCTGGTGGAGCAGACGCCCGGCAACGACATCAGCGACTACGAGGACCTGCAGTCCGGTGGGTGGGCCGCGGGCAGGGGGAGGGGCAGAAGGGGATGGCCGCGGGCACGGGGACCCTGGAGAAGGGTCCCCGCTCTGCGCCCGTCTGCAGAGGACCGCAGGTGCACCGCGGGGATTGAGTTTGGGGTCACAAATTGACTTTTTAAAAATATGCCTCTATTTTTTTTTAATTGCTTTTCTTTTTCTTTTCTTTTTTAAGTATATTTTATTGATTTTTTACAGAAAGGAAGGGAAATGAATAGAGAATTAGAAACATCGGTGAGAGAGAAACATCGATCAGCTGCCTCCTGCACACTCCCTACTGGGGATGTGCCTGCAACCAAGGTCCATGCCCTTGACCGGATTCGAACCTGGGACCCTTGAGTCTGCAGGCCGAAGCTCTATCCACTGATCCAAACCGGTCAGGGAAAAAATATGTCTCTATTGATTTCATACAGAGGAAGGGAGAGAGAGAGAAACATCAACGATGAGAGAGAATCATGGATCGGCTGCCTCCTGCATGTCCCCTACTGGGGACCAAGCCCGCAGCCCAGGCATATGCCCTGACTGGGAATTGACCCATGACCTCCTGTTTCATAGGTGGATGCTCAACCACTGAGCCACACCGGTCAGGCCACCAATCAATTTTCATGAATACACAAATTTGCAAAGATGGAATCCGGCCCTGGCCGGTGTGCCTCAGTGGATAGAGCATAAGCCCGTGGACTGAAAGGTTCTGGATTCGATTCCCAGTCAGGGCACATGCCCGGGTTGCAGGCTCGATCCCCAGCATGGGGCGTGCAGGAGGCAGCCGATCCATGGTTCCCTTCATCATTGATGTTTCTATGTCTCCCTCTCCTTTCCTCTCTGAAATCAATAGAAATAAATTAAAATTTAAAAAAGACAGAATCTGGGAAGAACAGGAATCAATCGTTTCAGCATATAGGCAGCTGTCACGGGGCGGGCGGCCCACCACCTGGAAGGGCCCATGTGTTGGTCTGTCCTGGCCGCCCTGACAGTCGGTCACCCCCGAGTCCCCTCTGCGCTCTGTCTGATGCCTCCCCCTCTCCCCCTACTGTGCGCAGCCATCAGCTTCCTCATCGAAACCGGCGCGCTGCTGCACTTCCCGGACACCAGCCACGGCCTGCGGAACCTCTACTTCCTGGACCCCATCTGGCTGTCCGAGTGCCTGCAGCGCATCTTCAGCATCAAAGGCTCCCGCTCCGTGGCCAAGAACGGGGTGATCCGGGCGGAGGACCTGCGCCTGCTGCTGGTGGGGACCGGCTTCACGCAGCAGACGGAGGAGCAGTACTTCCAGTTCCTGGCCAAGTTTGAGATCGCCCTGCCCGTGGCCAACGACAGGTGCGTCCGCAGGCCGGGCTGTGCGGGCGGCTCCCGGGAGGGAGGAGTCCGGGGCCGAGGCCACTGGGGCCTCGAACCGGGTTTCCCCAGAGATGGGCCGTGGTGACCTCCGGCCCGTTCGGCTGGCTGTTTCTTTCTATGCACGGGGGTCTTTTTTTGTTGTTGTGAGTCCTCACCCGAGAATATTTTTTCATTAATTTTTAGAGAGAGTGGAAGGGAGGGGGAGAGACAGAGAGAAACATCCATGTGAGAGAGACACATCGATGGGTTGCCTCCTGCATGGGCCCCATCCAGGGCCCGGGCCGGGGAGGAGCCTGCAATCGGGGTACGTGCCCTTGACCGGAATTGAACCCAGGACCCTTTGGTCTGCAGCCAGGGCACATGCCTGGGTTATGAGCCTGATCCCCCATTAGGGGGCGTGCAGGAGGCAGCCGATCCATGATCCTCTCTCATCATTGATGTTTCTCTCTCTCTCCTTCTCCCTTCCTCGCTCTGAAATCAATAATTTAATCCTCACCCGAGGATATTTTTCCATTGATTTTTAGACAGAGTAGAAGAGAGAGGGAAATAAAAATATCCCCCAAATAAATAAAGGGAAAGACAGAGAGAAATATTGATGTGAGAGAAACACATCATGGGTTGCCTCCTGCTCCTGCCCTGCCCAACCAAGGCCCTGGCCAGGGAGGAGCCTGCAACCGACGTATGTGCCCTTGATTGGAATCAAACCTGGGACCCTTCAGTCTGCAGACCCACCCTCTGTCGACTGAGCAAAACTGGCTAGGGCTCAATAAAAACTTTTAAATATATGTAAAAATAATAGAAAGAAAGAAAGAAAAAGAAATACATATATATAAAAGTAAATGTTAAAAAAATAAAGCAATCAACAAATGTACGTGAATCTGAAGTTTGCATTTAAAAAAAGAAAGAAAGAAAGAGAGAGAGAGAGACACGCCGAAGGCTCGGCTGGAGCCTGCCCCTCACAGCCACTGGGGGGGGCGGGGGGGCCTCCCACGTCCAGCTGTTTGCATGCGACACACGGCCAAGAACAGCTGAGTGAGCGACACGGTGATGCACCGCTTTTCTGCAGAGCGAGAGCGCGGGCACCCGACGCCCCTCTTTTGCACAAACAGCCTCCTCTGGCTTTGAAGGCGGCCGCGCCGTCTCCATTCGCCAAGAGCAATAAACAGCGGGGAGAGCCAGCAGGCGCTCTGACCCCAGCATGGGCATTGTCCCCGGACCCGTGCGGCTGTGTTTGTTACTCCTCGGCCGCGTCCCAAGTTCACTGTGAGCAGTTCCCCCGTCCCGGCCCCGGGTGCGGGGCAGCCCCGTCACGGCGGCGATGGGCTCTGTCTGGCGCATTTAGGACCACGGATGGTTTCGAAGGGTCTTTTGCCAGCCTTGGTCTCGCCTCTGTCTTGGCGACCTCGCTAGATGCAGTCACGGTGCCCATCCTCATGTTCTCTTGGAGCATGTATCCTTTTAAAAACATATAGGTTTGTGTGGGGTTTTTCTATTGATTTTAGAGAGGAAGGGAGAGAGAAACATCAATGATGAGAGAGAATCGTGGATCGGCTGCCTCCTGCACGCCTCCTACTGGGGATCGTAGCACACAGCACGGGCACGTGCCCCGACTGGGAATCAAAACTGTGACCTCCTGGTTCCTGGGTCGATGCTCAACCACTGAGCCACACCAGCCACTGGGGGGACATTGGAGCACTTATTCCTCACATGGAAACTGCTCTCTTTCTAAAAATAAAATTCCAAGGCCTTAGAAAGAAGGCCCCTTTCTACCGGGGTTAGGGCCCTGCCACAGAACTGAGGGTTCACAGTGCCATTTATTTATTTATTTATTTGGGGGATTTTTATTTATTTATAGTAATGGGATGCTTTTCTCATTTTTAGAGAGGGTGGAAGGGAGGGCGAGAGACAGAGAGGGAGAGAAACATCGATGTGAGAGAGACACGTCGATGGGTTGCCTCCCGCACGTGCCCCGACCAGGGCCAGGGATCGAGCCTTGACCAGGAATCGAACCCGGGACCCTTGGACGGCTCACCGAGCCCTTCGGTGCGTTTCAGCTACCTCCTGCCGCACCTGCTCCCATCCAAGCCCGGCCTGGACACCCACAGCATGCGGTACCCCACGGCCAACACCATCCAGAGGGTGTTCAAGATGAGCTTCGTGCCCGTCGGCTTCTGGCAAAGGTTCATAGCGCGGATGCTGATCAGCTTGGCGGAGATGGACCTCCAGGTAGCGGCGGGTTTCTCCGTGGGGCGGGGGAGGGGAGGATGCAGGTAAGGCACCTGCCGCCGGGCCCTCACGGGAGAGAGATGCCCTTGGCTGGAAGGGTTTGACCAAAAACCGTTTTCCTGCCGGCCGGCGTGGCTCGGTGGTTGAGCGTCGACCTATGAACCAGGAGGTCACGGTTCAGTGTCAGCGCACAGGCCCGGGTTGCAGGCTCGGTCCCCAGTAGGGGACGTGCAGGAGGCAGCCGATCCGTGATTCACTCTCATCGTGGATGTTTCTATCTCCCTCTCCCTCTTCCTCCCTCTCTGAAATCAATAAAAAAATATTTTTTTAAAAAAAGAAAAAGAAACCATTCTTTCCCCAGCATCACAGTCCAGGAGAGAAAGCTTATGCCCTGACCTTCGCTCGAACCCACAACCCGGGCACGTGTTCGCAGGATGCCCTAGAGCAGTGATGGCGAACCTATGACACGCGTGTCAGGGGTGACACGCGAACTCATTTTTTTGGTTGATTTTTCTTTGTTAAATGGCATTTAAATATATAAAATAAATATCAAAAATATAAGTCTTTGTTTTACTACGGTTGCAAAGATCAAAAAATGTCCATAGGTGACACGGCACCAGAGTTAAGTTAGGGTTTTTCAAAATGCTGCCACGCTGAGCTCAGAAGGTTCGCCATCACTGGCCCAGAGGCCCCTGCCCATCACGCAGACGTCCCCTGGGCAGCTGGATGGGCGGGGTGGGAGGACGGGGTGCGGGAGACCGGGATCAGTTGTCATGATGGGGCCCAGCTGCCGGCTGCGGAGCTCTGCCCGGGGCCGGCGAGGGGCTCGGGGTCCTGACGCCGGGCCTGCCTCTGTCCCGGCAGCTGTTCGAGACGAAGAAGAACAGCAAGAGCCGCCACCGGAAGGTCACCATCTACAGCTTTGCCGGGAATCAGAGGAATCGCTGCAGCACCTTCCGGGTGAAGAGGAACCAGACCATCTACTGGCAGGAAGGCCTCCTGGTCACGTTTGATGGGGGCTACCTCAGGTGGGTGCCCGGATGGGGCCTCCCCCGAGGGGATGGGGGGGACCGGCCACCGGGTGTCCAGCTCTGCTCCCGAGAGCGGCTCATGACGGCAGCTTGTGAGAGATAGGGTGCCCCGGCGCCCACGGTTTGGGGATCATTGGGAGGATGGCGCCGAGCTTTTCCCACGTGCCTTGCTCTCTGCATCGCCTGCCTGTGGCCGCTCCTGTGGACTAGCCTTTTGTAATAACCGGTGCTCTCGTTCCTACACTTGTCAACTGTCCCTGCCATCCCTCAGCCGGGAAAAGGGGGCGTTCCGTGGAATTTATTAGATCGGGGGAAAAAGATGGCCCAGGAAGCCATTGTTTTAAAGGAAGCACTTACGCCCTGGCCGGTGTGGCTCAGTGGATAGAGCGTCGGCCCTCGGACTGAAGGGTCCCGGGTTCGGTTCCGCTCAAGGGCACGTGCCTCGGTTGCGGGGTCGATCCGATCGCCCTGGTCTGGGAGGCACCCAATCGGTGTGTCTCTCTCCCATTGATGTTCCTCTCTCTGTGTCTCTCTCCTTCCCGTCCACTCTCTCTATAAATCAATGGAAAAATACCCTCAGGCGAGAATTAACCAAAAAATAAATTAAATAAAGGAAGAACTTACTGCTATGCTGGAGGAAGTTCCTCGCAAAGAAAAGTGGGAGGAAGAGGGAGAGAGAGAGAGAAACATCCATGATGAGAGGGAGTCATGGATCGGCTGCCTCCTGCACGCCCCACACTGGGGATGGAGCCTGCAATCCGGGCATGTGCCCCGACCGGGAATTGAACCGTGACCTCCTGGTTCATAGATCAACACTCAACCACGGAACCACGCCAGCAGTATATTTACAATGAGTTTTTTGAAATATTCTACAGTGAGAAAAGCAGGGAGTAGGGGAAGGTGACTTCCTTCAAGGGCCTGATCTGGCCCATTCTCAGTGCCTGCTGCCTTCATGGCGATGTTTCTAGTTCAGGGTCACGGTGGCCACTTGGCCGATGAGAATGCCGTGGTCCCGAGAAGAAAGAACGTTCCCAGGTCGCACCTGAGGGCCAGGTCCCTTGCTGCAAAGCCCTCAGGCTGTTCAGGTCACCATGTCGGGGGCCGTATGGGGACAAGGCAGGGCCATGCACACGAATACACAAATGCAGGATCCCCCCTCCCCAACCCCAGATAGTCCTGCCCGGGCACAAGGAGCCTGGGGGCCCCTGGGAGTCGGTCCTCACCCCAGGGGCAAAGAGAGGTCCCAGGGCCCTGCACGGTCCGATTACAGTGGACTCCTCCTTGTCTCTGGCGGCAGCGTGGAGTCCTCGGACGTGAACTGGAAAAAGAAGAAGAGCGGGGGAATAAAGATCATCTGCCAGTCGGAAGTGAGGGACTTCTCCGCCATGGCCTTCATCACCGACCACGTCAACTCCTTGATCGATCAGTGGTTTCCCGGTAAGAGAACGTTTGCTTGTTTTAATATTTTTTTTTAATGATTTCAGAGAGGAAGGGAGAGGGGGGCGAGAGAAGCATCCATGATGAGAGAGAATCATGGATCGGCTGCCTCCTGCACGCCCCCAACTGGGGATCGAGCCCGCAACCGTCCTGACCTGACCGGGAATCGAACTGTGATCTCCTGGTTCATAGGTCGACGCTCAACCCCTGAGCCGCGCCAACGGAACTGAGAGGAAGTTCTCGGAACCCGTCTTTATTCGTGTTAGTGTAGCGCCTCTTGAACAAGGTGGGTTTGAACCGTGGGGGTTCACTCATATGCCAGTATTTTTTGTTGTTCACCCTCATTCAGGCATATTTTTCCATTTATTTTTAGAGAGAGTGGAAGGGGAGAGACAGAGAGAGAGAAACATCGATGTGAGAGAGACGCACCGATTGGTTGCCTCCCACACAAAGACCCGACCAGGGCTGGGGATTGAGCCTGCAGCTGAGGTACGTGCCCTTGACCGGAATCGAGCCTGCAGTCCACGGGCCGACGCTCTATCCACTGAGCCACACCAACGAGGGCTGGGGATTCCGCCGATGGAGCCACACCCACCAAAGACCCCCTCCCCCTTCCCTGCCTGCCTTCCACCCCCCAATCCCACAGGAGCTCAACCACCCACACGGCCCTTTTCAAAGCCTTTGACTGTCCGCCCAAAGAAAATACTCTTTGAAGTGACGGTTCGGCCCTCTGTTTGTTTTGTTCCGGGAACAGACACGGAACCACGGGGTATTCTCCAGGGAGGAGGCCATGGGGCAACACTGGGCTGCCTCCTCCCAGGAGCCCTCCCCTTCCCTCTGAAGACTGGCGGCTGAGCAAGCAGAGGATAGGTCTGTGTGAGCCCGGCCAGTGTGGCTCAGTGGTTGAGCATTGACCTATGAACCAGGAGGTCTCAGTTCGATTCCCAGTCAGGGCACATGCCCAGGTTGCAGGCTCGATCCCCAGTAGGGGGCATGCAGGAAGCAGCCGATCCACGATTCTCTCTCCTCATTGATGTTTCTCTCTCTCTCTCCCTCTCCCTTCCTCTCTGAAATCCATAAAAATATTTTTTAAGAAGGAACCTAAGTGCAATAGTCATGTTTCAGGCACAATCTGGGCGCTGACGAGAGCACACAGACCCCCCCTTCCGGGAAGGCCACCCACCAGGCTGGGTTTGCAGGTGCTGCCCCAGCAGCTGCCATCCTCTGAGCTGTCCCCCACTCTGTCCCCACTTAGCCCTGACGGCCACGGAAAGCGACGGGACCCCCCTCATGGAGCAGTACGTGCCCTGCCCGGTCTGCGAGACCTCCTGGGCCCGGCACACCGACCCCGGCGAGAAGGCGGAGGGCGTGCAGTACTTCGACATGGAGGACTGCGTGCTGACGGCCATCGAGCGGGACTTCATCGCCTGCCCCAGGCACCCCGACCTCCCCGTGCCCCTCCAGGAGCTGGTGCCCGAGCTGTTCATGACCGACTTCCCGGCCAGGTACGCCGCCCTGGCTGCTGGCGGCTGCTGCAGCCACCGCCTCCCGCCCCGTCCCAGGGGACTTTTAGTTATTTATTTATTTTTTGGTTAATCCTTATGCAGGGATATTTTTTCTGCCTCCTGCACGCCCCCTACTGGGGATGGAGCCTGCAACCCGGGCCTGTGCCCTGACCGGGAGTCGAACCCTGACCTCCTGGTTCCTAGGTCGACGCTCAACCACTGGGCCACACCGGCTGGGCTGCAGCGTGGTTCCTAAATGGGGTCCTTGTCCAGGGGTTGCGGAGCCCGCCGGTCTGAGCAGGATCCAGGGTCCAGCACACGTTCTCTGGGAACTGCAGCTGTGGCCCCACCCCGCCCGAAAGACGCCTCCCTCCTCCCCTGGGCGCTCGGGCGGGTGGGCGCCTGTTCTGACCGGAGCCCCCATGTCCCCCGCAGGCTCTTCCTGGAGAACAGCGAGCTGGAACACAGCGAGGACGAGAGCAGCGTCCTGGGCCAGGGCGGCAGCGGCACCATCATCTACCGCGCCTGCTACCAAGGCCGGCCGGTGGCGGTGAAGCGCTTCCAGATCAAGAAGTTCAAGAACTTCGCTAACGTCCCGGCCGGTGAGCAGGGCCCTGCCTCCTTGCTTTTCTTCTTCCTCTTTTTTTTTTTTAATACATATACACTTTTTAAAATGGATTTCAGAGAGAGAGAAACATCAACCAGGAGAGAGAATCCTGGATCGGCTGCCTCCTGCACGCCCCCTCCTGTGGGTGGAGCCCGCAACCCGGGCCTGTGCCCGGACCGGGAATGGAACCACGCAGGCCGGGCTGTCATTTCTGTTCAGACGTGTGCCCCTCCGCTTAACACCCAGCGCGGGCACTGGGAGCCTCTCACCACCGGGCGGCTGAGGGTCACCTGGGCCACTGCCCCTGGCTTGCCATGGTCACCTTGCTGATCCTAATAGTCACTGGCCCTCTTGGTAGAAAAATTAGGGCCGTCGAACAATACAAAGAACGCGGGTCCGAGAGGAAGAGACGAAATTGTAACTTTGTGATGAGCATGCGACTTTCTGCCCAGAAAAACGAAGGGACCGTTGACCGAGCTCTCAGAGTCAGGGAGAGTTTCTTAAAATGGGGATGAGAGAGAGAGAGAGAGAGAGAGAGAGAGAGAGAGAGATCAAAGATTCTAAAAAGCATATAGCCCAGCTGGTGTGATTCACTGGTTGAGCACTGACCTTTGAACCAAGACAGCACGGTTCGATTCCCGGTCAGGGCACACGCCCAGGTAGCGGGCTCCATCCCCAGTGTGGGGCGTGCAGGAGGCAGCCGATCCGTGATTCTCTCTCATCCTTGATGTTTCTGTCTCTCCCTCTCCCTCTCTGAAATCAATTTTTTTTAAAAAAAATTGTTTTTTTGAATAAAATGCGTGTGAACTGACGCCGCGCCGCCCCCTGCAGACACGATGCTGAGGCACCTGCGGGCCACGGACGCCATGAAGAACTTCTCGGAGTTCCGGCAGGAGGCCAGCATGCTGCACGCCCTGCAGCACCCCTGCATCGTGTCCCTGATCGGCATCAGCATCCACCCGCTCTGCTTCGCCCTGGAGCTCGCCCCGCTGGGCAGCCTCAACACCGTGCTGTCCGAGAACGCCAAAGGTGCCCGCCGCTCCGGAACCTTCCATGGGGGGAGGGCGGGGGAAGGGTTGCTGGCCCGGCTGGTGTGGCTCAGCTGGTGTGTCTCCTGGTCAATCTATGAACCAGGAGGTCATGGTTCAATTCCCAGTCAAGGGCACATGTCCAGGTTTCAGGCTCGATCCCCAGTGCAGGAGGCAGCCAGTCCATGATTCTCTCTCCTCATTGATGTTTCTCCCCCCCCCCTCCCTCTCTCCTCTCTCCCTCTCTCTCTCTCTCTCCCTTCCTCTCTGAAAGCAATTAAAAATACATTTTTAAAATGAATAAATGAAAAAGAAAGGAGGACAGTCGTGCTGATGATCGTCTGATGTGTCTTTCTTTGCAAAGATTCTTCGTTCATGCCCCTGGGCCACATGCTCACCCAGAAGACGGCCTACCAGATCGCCGCGGGCCTGGCCTACCTGCACAAGAAGAACATCATCTTCTGTGACCTGAAGTCGGACAACATCCTGGTCTGGTCCCTGGACGTCAAGGAGCACGTGAACATCAAGCTGTCGGACTACGGCATCTCCAGGCAGTCCTTCCACGAGGGCGCCCTGGGCGTGGAGGGCACGCCCGGCTACCAGGCCCCGGAGATCAGGCCCCGCATTGTGTACGATGAGAAGGTACCCAGCTCAGGACCCCGGGCCCATGTCAGGCAAGCCATGGATGGATGGATGGATGGATGGACAGATGAGTGATAGATAGATGGACAGATGGATGATGGATGGAGGCGTGGGTGGGTGGATGATGGATGGGTGGGCAGGTGGATGGATGGATGGGTGGGCGGGTGGATGGATAGATGTGTGGGCGGGTGGTTGGATAGATGTAGAGATGGATGATGGATGGTTGGATGGATGATGGATGGAGGGGTGGATGGATGGATAATGGATGATGGATGGGTGGGCGGGTGGATGGATAGATATAGAGATGGATGATGGGTGGGTGGATGAATGGATGGACAGATGGATGATGGGTGGATGGATGGGTGGGTGGATGGATATATAGAGATGGATGATGATGGGTGGACGGATGATGGATGGGTGGGCAGGTGGATGGGTAGATGAAGAGATGGATGATGGGTGGATGGATGGATGGATGGATGGATGAGTAGGCTGCAGGATGGATAGAAAAATGGATGAGGAATGGGCGATGTAGGTGGGTGGAAGGAAGGAAGTACAGATGGACGGACTGGAAGGTGGATGGATAAAGGGACAGAAGGATGGATGGTCGGGTGGTTCGTCATACGTTTGGACAGGTGCAGAGAGGTGGATGATGGGTGGATGGATGGGTGAGTGCCTCCCTTTGCACAGGGCCCCTGATCTCCTTGCCTAAAGGTACCTCCCTTCTCCGTCCACCTGAGGGCCAGCTCGTGAGAGCGGCTGGGCCCAGGGGGGGACCTGACCCTCCTGCCGCCCCGCCAGGTAGACATGTTCTCCTACGGAATGGTGCTCTACGAGCTGCTGTCGGGACAGCGGCCCGCGCTCGGCCACCACCAGCTGCAGATCGCCAAGAAGCTGTCCAAGGGCATCCGCCCGGTGCTGGGGCAGCCGGAGGAGGTGCAGTTCCATCGGCTGCAGGCACTCATGATGGAGTGCTGGGACACGAAGCCCGAGAAGGTACCCGGGGCACAGGACCTGGCGCCCAGCACCTCCAACCGCTGTGGTGGATGGAGGCCGTGGGTCTCCTGGGGCCCAGTGGACGGCTGCCCCGAAGGGCTCAGAACCCATAGGGCCACTCCCCGCTGCTCACCTCTTCTAGAAAGAGGTCTTTCCTGCTCCTCAGACGTTCCGATCAGTGCTGTGGGGTGTGTATCACTCTCAGGACCAGTGAGCTTGCTTTTCCTCTCCAGCGTCTGTGTAGCATCCTCATGCGGGTAAAGCGTGTCCGCCCCTGGATGGCAAGGCGGTCCCCTTGCAGGAGCAGGGGACGTAGGTGTGGCTCTGTGGAGAGTAACGGGGAGCAAGCAGGTTTGCTCAAGAAAAACAGGAGCCTCATTGTCTTTTTAAAGCCAGTGGCTGTCCGTTTGGTGTGGCTCAGTGGTCAGGGCACATGCCCGGGTTGCAGGCTCGATCCCCAGTGGGGGGCGTGCAGGAGGCAGCCGGTCCATGATTCTCTCCCATCCTTGATGTTTCTGTCTCTCCCTCTCCCTTCCTCTCTGACATCAATAATAATATTTCATGACTAGATAGTCAATAAAGCGAGTTGTTTTCAGAAAAGGCCAGCGGTTTCAAGTTTTAACCACACGGGTCACTTTTGAAAGTGTGAGTGTAAAGTGTTGGCAGTAAATGAGGTCTGAGAACATTTCTTTACAAGATTCAAAGATTCCGCACTCCCAGGATTAGGGGGTTTAATATCAGAGGTTTTAGACCAACCTGGTCACGGGAGTTCTAGTTGTCGGAGGGTCTGCTTCTGGTGTCTGTTTTGTTCTCTTGTTTCAGTTGAGTCTTGTGTTGTTTTTTTAATTGATTTTAGAAAGGAAGGGAGATGGAGAGAGAGATAGGAACGTCACTCATGAGAGAGAATCATCGATCGGCTGCCTCCTGCTCGCCCTGTAACCCGGGCAAGTGCCCTTGACCGGAATCGAACCCGGGATGCTTCAGTCCGCAGGCCGATGCTCTATCCACTGAGCCGAACCAGCCAGGGCTCTGTTGAGCCTTGAATGAGTAGATTCCGCTCCTTCCTTCCTGGTTCAAGACGGTTGGTTTCCTGGGCAGAATGGGCACCCGTCTGGTTGGTGAGTGACCCCGCTCACGGCCATGGCGGCCTCTCTCCCTCAGCGACCGCTGGCCCTGTCCGTGGTGAGCCAGATGAAGGACCCGACCTTCGCAACCTTCATGTACCAGCTGCCCTGTGGGAAGCAGACCGCCTTCTTCTCGTCCCAGAGCCAGGAGTACACGGTGGTGTTCTGGGACGGCAAGGAGGAGTCCAGGTAAGGCCTTGAGGCTTGCCACACCCTGCTGGTGTCAGAGAGGGGGCGACCATGGCATGGGGGGAAGTCGGGGGTGACCACAGTGAGAGATGGTTGGTGCATGATGGGTTGGGAGCCTGATGGAGACTCCTCAGGAGAGAAAACTGCCCCCCAGCCAGTGTGGCTCAGTTGGTTGAGCAGCATCCCATGAACCAAACGGTCGCCGGTTTGATTCCCGGTCAGGGTACATGCCCAGGTTTTGGGCTCCATCCTTGATTGGGGCATGTGAGAGTGCGGGAGGTGGCCGATCAATGTTTCTCGCATCAATGTTTCTCTGTCTCTCCCTTTGTCTCTCTCTTAAAAAAAAAAAATCAATAAAAACTTATTTTAGCCCTAGCCGGTTTGACTCAGTGGATAGAGTGTCCGCCTGCGGACTGAAGGGTCCCGGGTTCGATTCCAGTCAAGGGCACATGCCTGGGTTGCGGGCTTGATCCCCAGTAGGAGGCGTACAGGAGGCAGCTGATCAGTGATTGATCTCTCATCATTGATGTTTCTCTCCCTTCCTCTCTGAAATTAATAAAAATATATCTTTTTTAAAAAGCATATTTTTAAAAAAAGAAAGAAAACTGAGCCCACACATATAGACATGCACATATAGGTCTGTGATTAAGAGAAGCAAAGAAGCCCGGCCAGTGTGGCTCAGTGGTTGAGCATCAACCCGTGAACCAGGAGGTCTGGTTCCGCCCATCGCCGATTCTCCTCCTCCACGGTTGCCACAGGCCAGGCCGGGATGAGGGGGGCGGCCCCCGGCCCTGCGGAGCTGACCACGCCATCGCCACCCCTTGCAGGAACTACACGGTGGTGAACACGGAGAAGGGCCTCCTGGAAGTGCAGAGGATGGGCTGCCCGGGCATGAGGCTCAGCTGCCAGATCAAAGTCCAGAACTCTCTGTGGACGGCCACCGAGGTACCCCCCACCTCTCCACCCCCACCCCCCGATCCCCTACCTCATGCAGGGCTCTCGTCAGGCAGGCAACCCCGGGAGCCAGATCTACCACCTCTAAATACAGGACACTGGGCCCAGCAGGCTCAGTAGTTGAGCGTCGACCTAGGAACCAGGAGGTCACGGTTCCATTCCTGGTCAGGGCACATGCCCGGGCTGCGGGCTCCATCCCTAGTAGGGAGTGTGCAGGAGGCAGCCGATCCATGATTCTCTCTCATCGTGGATGTTTCTCTCTCTCTTCCTCTCTGAAATCAATAAAAAATATATTAAAAAGAAAAAAGAAAGAACGTCGGTGCCTCAGACCCCATCAGTGGTTTTCTCTGGGGAGCAGATGATGGGCAATTTCACTTTTCTTCTTTAGACGACGCTGTCGTTTTCAAAGTTTCTACAGAGGACAGAGATGCGACAACAAGCAACCAGAGAGCCTTTAGACGTTTCCTCTCTAAGGCCCGGAGGGTTTCCGAGGCGGAGTGGGCCCCGTAGGGACGTCCGGCCCGCGTCCGCCGGGTCTCACGCCGCCCGTCTGCCTCTGCAGGACCAGAAGATCTACATCTACAGCCTCAAGGGCATGTGCCCCTTAAACACGCCGCAGCGGGCCTTGGACACGCCGGCCGTGGTCACCTGCTTCCTGGCGGTGCCTGTGTTGAAGAAGGTGAGGTGTGGGCCGGGGGTGGGTGAGTGCACAGGGTCTGGCTCTCCCTGCCGGTTCTTTTGGGGGCGGGGATAGGGGATTGGGGGGGGGGGGCATAGCCACACCCTCCTGGGCCACCAAGCCCCATCACTGTCAGCCTTAACCCAGGAGCCCTGGGCCGTCCTCAGGGCCCTTCCTGTTGGGGAAAACCCACGTGACCAGTAAGACTAAGGGCTCAGTGGACAGCTGTCCATGCAAATACCACAGCCCTGGATTTTGGCAAAATGCTTTTATACTAGTACATATACTAGAGGCCCAGTGCATGGATTCATGCACCAGTGGGATCCCTCGGCCTGGCCTGCGGGGATCAGGCCGAAACCGGCTCTCCGACATCCCCCGAGGGGACCCGGATTGCGAGAGGGCGCAGGCCAGGCCCAGGGGCCACACTGGTGCACAGTCGGGGCCGGGGAGGGACTGAGGGAGGGCTCCAAGGCGTGTCCGGCCCATCTCGCCCAGTCCCTATCAGCCAGACCCCAGCAGCAAGTTAACCTACCGGTTGGAGGATCTACCCCCTGGTGGTCAGTGCGTGTCATAGCAAATGGTCGAATGAACGGTCGGACACTTTGCGTAGTAGGCTTTTATTATATAGGATATTTATTTAGTTTTAAGTTTCCTGTTTTTATTTTTTTTATTTAATTACATTTTTTATTGTTGACAGTATTACAGATATCTCCCATTTCTCCCCTAGATATATATACATATATATATATATATATTTTTTTTTTTTTTTTTTTTTTATTGATTTCAGAGAGGAAGGGAGGGAGAGAGAGAGAGAGAGAGAGGGAGAAACCTCAATGATGAGAGAGAATCATGGATCGGCTGCCTCCTGCACGCCCCCTCCTGGGATCGAGTCCGAAACCCAGGCATGTGACCTGAAGGGGCTCTTCCACTCTCTCTTAAAAAGAAGGAAAAAAACCATGTTGGCGGTCATAATCCAATGTAAGTTTTCCCATCTGTAAAATGGGCGTAAGAAGAGACTGTGAAAAGGATCTCTGGGCATTAGGGACCCAGAGCTCCAGGCCATGGCGCTGGGTGAGCACGATCTTATTCGTACTTTCCGAGGGTCCCGAAATATATTACGCTCTCTGCCCTCCACCCGACATAGGTTCATTTCTTTAAAAAAAAAAGTCTGAACTCAGCCTTAGAGTCATTTATGACGGTGGCCCCACGGGCGAGGCAGGGGCAGCTCGGGCCCCAAGTGCCGGAGAATAGGACACAAAGCGTCATTTAAGGCCATGGCCGGCCGGAGCCCCCGAGCCAGGGCACCACCGCCCGCACGACCAGAGGGAATAAAGCTGGCTCTGTGCGGAGCCTCCCTGCCCGGGTACCTGCCCTCGGAGGCCGCGGACGGGACGGCTGACCCCTGCATTCTTGCACGCACTCACACCCAGCCGGCCTGGCGCTCGCTGCCCTGGCTGGGGCCTGCGCTGGGGCTCAACAGAGACACAGCTCCTGTTTGCCTGGGCTGCTTCCTGTCCTAAAACCCTGTGAGGATTTCGATAGACATCCTTTTTGTTTGTTTTTTTAATATATTTTATTGATCTTTTTACAGAGAGGCAGGGAGAGGGATAGAGAGTTAGAAACATCGATGAGAGAGAAACATCGATCAGCTGCCTCCTGCACACTCCCTACTGGGGATGTGCCCGCAACCAAGGTACATGCCCTTGACCGGAATCGAACCTGGGACCTTTCAGTCCGCAGGCCGACGCTCTATCCACTGAGCCAAACCAGTTAGGGCAATAGACATCCTTTTTTATTGTGCATCTTCACCTTCTTTTTCTTGTTTGTTTTTTTTAATATATTTTTATTGATTTCAGAGAGGGAGAGAGAGAAACCTCAATGATGAGAGAGAATCATGGATCGGCTGCCTCCTGCACGTCCCCTACTGGGGATGGAGCCTGCAACCCAAGCATGTGCCTTGACTGGGATTCGAACCAGCGACCTCTTGGTTCGTTGGTTGATGCTTAACCACTGAGCCACACTGGCTGGGCTGCCTGGGCTGCTTTCTTTCCTAAAACCCTGATGAAGGATTTCGATAAATGTTCTTTTTTTGAAAATATATTTTTATTGATTTCAGAGAGGAAGGGAGAGGGAGAGGGAGAGAAAGAGAGAGAAACATCAATGATGAGAATCCTGAATCAGCCGCCTCCTGCATGCCCCCTACTGGGGATCGAGCTCACAACCCAGGCATGTGCCCTGACTGGGATTCGAACCCTGACCTTCCGGCTCATAGGTTGACGCTCAACCCCTGAGCTCCGCCGGCCAGGCACCCCTGCCTTTTCAAGACCCTTATTCCTGTTCTCCCGGCAGAATTCCTTCCTGTTGCTGGCGGGCCTGGCGGACGGGCTGGTGGCAGCGTTCCCCGTGGTGCGGGGCGCCCCTGAGGACAGCTGCTCCTACCTGTGCTCGCACACGGCCAACAGGTCCAAGTTCAGCATCCCGGACGAGGACGTGCGGCAGAACCCCTACCCCGTGACGGCCATGGAGGTGGTGAACAGCGGGTCCGAGGTCTGGTACAGCAACGGGCCGGGCCTGCTGGTCATCGACTGCGCCGGCCTGGACATCAGCCGGCGGCTGGAGCCCTACGCGGCCCCGTCGGCGGTCACCTCGCTCGTGTGCAGCTCGGACTGCGGGGGCGAGGAGGTGGTCTGGTGCCTGGACGACAGGGCCAACCTCTTGGTCATGTACCACTCGGCCACCTACCAGCTGTGCGCCCGCTACTTCTGCGGGGACCCGAACCCCGGGAGGGACGTGTTTCCCGTGCGCCCCTCGGGCCTGGAGCCGCCGGACGGCCCCGGGGCCAGCCGGCAGGAGCCCGAGGCGGACTCCATCGCCGACGTGAGCATCATGTACAGCAAGGAGCTGGGCACACAGATCCTGACGCACCAGGACTCGCTGACCGACTACTGCTCCATGTCGTCATACTCCTCGTCCCCCCCGCGGCGGGCCCCCCTGTCCCCGGACAGTTCCTCCAGCGTCCTCTTCTCCACCGACGGGGAGGGCTCGGACCGGCTGCTCGAGCCCACGGCCGGTTCCGACAGGTCCGAGCAGGAGCTGAGCCCCGTGGACGGCGAGGCGTTCAGCCAGCACCTGCAGGCCGTGAAGGTCCTGGCTGTGAGGGACGTCATCTGGGTGCCCAGGTAGGTCTCCCCGCAGCGGGGGGTGCGAGCTTGGGGGCGCCCGTCTCCCGCTCTGACTTTGGGGGCGGAGTGACGGAAGCTTGGGGGCACTGTGGCCATCCATTGGAGCTGCGCCCCCTGTTCTGAAATTGGGAGCAATCTGTTTTAAAACATACTTTTATTGATTTCAGAGAGGAAGAGGGAGAGAGATATCAATGATGAGAGAGAATTATGGATCGGCTGCCTCCTGCACGCCCCCTCCTGGGGGTCGAGCCCACAATCCCGGGCATGTGCCCTGACCGGGAATCGAACCGTGACCTCCTGGTTCATAGATCGGTGCTCAACCACTGAGCCACGCCAGCCCGGCCAATCTCTTTTTATTTTTTTTAATATGTTTTTATTGATATCTGAGAGAGAAGAGAGGGAGAGACAGTTAGAAACATCAATGATGAGAGAGAATCCTGGATTGGCTGCCTCCTGCTGACCCCCTACTGGGGATGGAGCCTGCAACCTGGGCATGTGCCCTTGACCGGAACTGAACCCAAATACCCTTTGGTCTGAGGGCCAACGCTCTAACCACTGAGTAAACCAGTCAGGGCAGTAGCTGTATTGTGGGGGGTTTTTTAATTTTTTTTTTTTATTGATTTCAGAGAGGGGAGAGAGAAACATCAATGATGAGGTGAGAGAGAATCATGGACCGGCTGCCTCCTGCACGCCCCCTACTGGGGATGGAGCCCACGATCCCGGGCATGTGCCCTGACCGGGAATCGAACCGTGACCTCCTAGTTCATAGGTCGACGCTCAACCACTGAGCCACGCCGGCCGGGCTGGAGCGATGTCATGGGCAGAGCCAGCCGAGAAGGGCTGTGCTAGCTGAGGGCACCATGGTCAAGTGCGATCAGGTTTCCTGCTGGGAAAGTGCCTGCCGGCCCCGCTCCGGTGCCCCCTGTGCCACTCATTCCATTAGCAGAAACCCCTTGTTTGTTGCCCTGCGCGCCCTGCCAGCTCCGCTTCCCCTGGCGAGCCGGCCCCGGACAAAGCGCTTCCCCTCGCGGGTTCTGGTTTCGCAGGCGCGGAGGAGATGTTATCGTCATCGGCCTGGAGCGGGACGCGGGCGCCCAGCGGGGCCGAGTCATCGCCATCTTGAAAGCCCGAGAGCTGACGTCAAGGGGGTAAGACAGGACGGCTCTCGCTCCCCAGGCTGGGGCGGGGAGGATGGGGAGAGATCCAGGCCCTCTGCCCCGTCCCTGCACAGTGGCCATCTGTCTGCCCTCCTGTCCTCCCCAAACTAGCGTTACTCCCACCGCCCTGGCCGGTGTGGCCCAGTGGATAGAGCATCGGCCTGCGGACTGGAGGGTCCCGAGTTCGATTCCGGTCAAGGGCACGTGCCTCGGTGGCGGGCTCAATCCGAGGCCCTGGTCTGGGCGGGGCCCGTGCGGGAGGCAATCTACCAGCACATCTCTCTCACATCAATGTTCCTCTCTCTGTGTGTCTCCCGATCCTTTCCATCCCCCTCTCTCTAAACAATCAATGGAAAAATAGCCTCGGGGGAGGATTCACCAAAAATAGTGCCTATGGTTAGGACCTGGTGCGGGGTGTTGGCCTAATCCACGGCCCTGCGTTCCCTAAGCACGTGGACAGGGAGAGCTTCGGGAAAAGAATCCTGACGAGGCAGGGCCGTTGAGCTCAGGCCCAAATCCATCCCGGGCCCTTGGCGAGCAGGAGTTGGAGTGGGTGGTGTTTTCTGCACCGTTTGGGGTCTGAGACCCATCACGAAACACAGCTGCTCTGATGGGATCGGGGTTCTTCCCGGGAGTTGGTCCCTTACAGACAATCCCTGGGATCCTAAACTAATGCCCTTGGCTTGCCTTTTTATTTATTTATTTTTTGAGTATATTTTTATGGATTTCAGAGAGGAAGGGAGAGGGAGAGAGAGAAACATCAACGATGAGAGCGAATCATGGATCGGCTGCCTCCCGCACGCCCCCTACTGGGGATCAAGCCCACAACCCGGGCACGTGCCCTGACCGGGAATCGAACCGTGACCTCCTGGTTCACAGGTCAGTGCTCAACCATTGAGCTACACAGGCCGGCCTTGCGCATCTTTCGATGAGTAGGCCTCTGCCCACAGGCTGCACCCCCAGGGAGAAGCAGGGCACTGAAACACATGGCGGGGGGGGGGGGGGGGTGCCCGGCTGGCGTGCCCCGGTGTCCCCCTAGGCCATGCTCTGGCCTCCCGAGATGGTACAGGGCGAGGGGCCCGGCCTGACCTCGTGGGCACCCCGGTGGGTGTTCTCAGACCCCGCCCCCTCTCCGCAGGGCTCTGGTGGATGCGGCCGTGGTGGCCAAGGACACCGTCGTGTGTGGCTTCGAGGACGAAAGCAGCGAGTGGTGCCTGGCCGTGTGGCGGGGCTGGGGCACCCGGGAGTTTGACGTCTTCTTCCAGGCCTACGAGGAGCTGGGCCGGCTGGAGGCCTGTGGGCGCAAGAGGAGGTAGCGCCCGGCCGCGGAAGAAGGAGCGTCGCCCGGACCTGGCTGGCCCAGGCCCGCGGGCTGCCCCCTCCACCTGCCGCCACAGCCCTCCTCTGCGGACCCAGAAGAGAAACCGTGTTCTCCCACGAACGGCTTGCTGCTAAGAAGTGCTGAGACGTCCCCGCCCCAGCCCTGGCCGGTGTGGCTCAGTGGACAGAGCGTGTCGGGCCTGCAGACGGAAGGGTCCCGGGTTCGATTCCGACCCAGGGCACGTACCTCGGTGGCAGGCTCCTCCCCGGCCGGGGCCAGGCCCTGGTCGGGGCGCATGCAGGAGGCAACCCATCGATGTGTTTCTCTCACATCGATGTCTCTCCCTCTCTCTTCCACTCTCTCTCAAAATCAATGGGAAAAATATCCGCCGGTGAGGATTCACCAAAAAAAAAAAAAGGAAAATGAAGCCCGCACGCCAGCAATGGTTTCGGGGTTCTCTTCTTCTCCAGGGCAGTCATCTGGCTACCCCCACCCCCCATAGCTGCTTTTACAGCCCAGGGGACCATGCTTTCGCTTCCAGGAGAAGAGGGGGCCCCTGGTCTGGGCCCGGACACAAAAGAAGGGGGGCTGGGCCTCTCCAGCATCCAGGGCCAGGGATGGAATTACACGAGCTGCTCTCCGTCGGGAGGCACTTCGGGGCAGAGCGGGAGGCGCGCTGTGACCCCTTCCCCTTCCCCTGGTGCCCCCCCCCTCTTCTAAATACATTTCACAAGCTCCCCAGTCCCCCAGGCCTGGGGCCCTGCTAGGGGAAGCTGCCTGCGATCATGTGTCTGCAGCTCAGCACAGTCTGTGTCAGAAACTCCTAGAAGGACCCTCGGGGAGCGAAACTATGGCCCAATCTGGGGAATGAATAAATGTCTTGAAGTGGCCCCCACCCGTCCCCCCGGGAAAGCCAAGCGCTGGGCCAGCCCGGCTCAGCCTTGACGGGTACCTTCCTCTTCTGCCGACAAAAGGACCCAGCGGCAGGACTTGGAGAAAGGGCCTGTGTTTACAGTTTTGTCCAATCAGCTGGGGCGCAGCTGCCGCCCCAGCCCCATTCTGTTTGCACAGAACAATCTTGTTTACCCTTTGGCCAAATTGCGGGCTTGCGGGGCCGTGGGGCCCCTGGTTGAGCAATTGCATCCTGAGGGGTTTATGGCAAATGACGCGTTTGCTCATGGACCACACGCACCAGGCCCCGCGGCAGAGGAGACCTCAGATGGTCAAGGGGCGTTTGTGGGCGCACCCGTGGGCGCGCGCGCAGGCAACCGTGTGGTTTCCCAGGTAACCATCTGAGGCTGCTTAAACCCAGAACGGGAGCATGGACCCATCCATCACTCTCCCCATTCAGGTTGTTCATCTTTCTTCCAAAGTTTAATTATGAAAATCAAACTAGAGATTTGTGGGGTGTGCGGGCCCATGGGAACTCCTTTTATCTGAAAGTAAACAAACTCCCAAGAAAGAAGGCTGGCCCTGGCCGGTGTGGTTCAGTGGCTAGAGTGGCGGCCTGCGGACCGAAGGGTCCCGGGTTCGATTCCGGTCAGGGCACATTCCTGGGTTGCGGGCTCGATCCCCAGTAGGGGGGCGTGCAGGAGGCAGCCGATCCGTGACTCAGTCTCATCATTGATGTTTCTCTCTCTCTCCCTACCTCTCTGAGACCAATAAAAATATATATTAAAAAAGAATGAAGGCTTGGTCGTCTCTGACCAGCTCTTGGAATAGCAGCCCAGGTTGCCCCCACCCAGACCCACTCCCTTCCTGGGGCAAAATGGTTCTGCCCCCAAGTCGGCTGCCCCCATAGGAGTTTCGGGGGGAAGGGGGCGCAGAAACAGCCAATCTGTCCGTCTCCCTGCTTTCGTTTACTGGCCAGGGTGGCTGAGGATCTGTGCGTCCTGCCAACTCTCCCCCCACACACACCCAGGCTCCTCAGCAGGGCCCCTCACTGGGAACCCCTCACCTCACCCCAGAACCCCACAGTAGCCCAGTAAACCCCCCAATGCAAATTGGGTCCTGTCCTTTCCCCGCCCCAAATCTGCTCCCCATATCACCTATGGCCAGACTGCTATGCCCAGGGAGCCCCCACAATCCAATCCCAGCCTGCCTTTCCTACGTGGGTCCCTCCTGGTCCTGAGCCTAACCCTGACCTTGACCCTGACCCCACCAGGGCCAAGCTGCCCTGAGGAATGGCCTCCAAGCGCCAGCTTAGGGCAGGACTTCATCCCGAAAGTTAGAAACCACACAGGACATGGCGAATGCACCTGACTCTAAAAGTAAGAAACATACATGGGAAAATGATCTCCAGGTCAAAAAAATGGAGAGTCAGCTCAGAAAATAAAAAAATAAAAAAGATCTTTGCGACAAGCGAGAGACAAATGGCTCACTTACCTTGTATACAAAGAATTTGTACCGCCCGGCTGGTGTGGCTCAGTGGTTGAGCATCGACCTATGCACAAGGAGGTCATGGTTGGATTCCCAGTTAGGGCACATGCCCATCCCCAATGGGGGGCATGCTGGAGGCAGCCGGTCAATGATTCTCATCATTGATGTTTCTCCCTCTCTCTCCCTTCCTCTCTGAAATCAATAAAAATATTTTTTTAAAAAAATACAAGAGCTTCTCTCCCTCCCTGGAGTCCAGGGGAGGAGGGGCGCTGATGCTGATCTCTGCACCCCCATTCCTAGGATCCGCCCCCCCCCCAACCAATTTCACTAGATTCTCAGGAGCAGTTCCCTCACCCACAGCCAGGGGGCGCCCCCACCCTCCTGCCTGGCCCAGCCTGGACAAGACCAAGACGGGGGAAATGGATGCCCTAGGCCTCCTGGCATCCGAGAAGAGCTTGTGGGCTTGATGAGTTTACTCTGCTGAGTAGTCCCAAGTACGATCTGCTTGTGGCTGCGTGTTGTGTGGACGAATGTCAACACGGATGCCCACGCTGCCGGGGCCCAAGGAGCCCGAGGAAGGTACGGCTGGCTATAAGCGGGCCAGGGCCACTAGCTGAGCTCCAGAGCTGGGTTTCCTCTCTTTCTATTTTTTATTTTTTTAAATTGATTTCAGAGAGGAAGGGAGAGGGAGAGAGAGAGAAGCATCACTGATGAGAGAGAACCATGGATCGGCTGCCTCCTGCACGCCCCGCACTGGGGATCAAGCCCGCAACCCGGGCATGTGCCCTGATTGGGAATCGAACCGTGACCTCCTGGTTCCTGGGTGGATGCTCAACCCCTGAGCCAGGCCGGCCGGGCTGCTCTATGTGTCTGTGCCGGATGGATGAATGGAGACTCGAGTCACAGGTTCCCACAGCAACCAAGCCCTCACAAGAGGCCGGGAGAAAGCCTCACACCACCGTCTCCTCCGTGCAGGGGTGAGCTTGGAGCGGGCACGGGACTTCCGTCTGCCCTTGATTCCTGGCCTGGGGTCTGCCCTCCTATCAGCTACTCTGACTGCTCAGGAATGGATGGGCGGATGGGTGGGTGGATGGGTAGACGGACAGATGGAAATCTCCAGGACAGAGGCCCCTGGACAAGAGCTCGCGGTGGTGGGGGTCTGAATGGTCCTCTATAAACAGACCCGGGCGGTCAGCAGCCGTCTTCCTTGACCATGGGACGAACGGTTCCCAGGCAACAAGCCCTGGGAACCCCCCACGCAGATGCCTTTTTGTCCTGCTGTGATGCTGGCCCGGGAACTCATCAGCAAGAGAGGGGGGGCGGGGGTGCCTGGCCTCCCAGAATCTGCAGCCGGAAATGACCTTGACCTTCTCCCACCCCCGTGGTGCCTGGGAAACAAAGGCCCAGAGGAGCAGCCAACCCCGAGAAGTGTGTTGTTACCAGGGGCAACGCGGCCCAGGCGCCCCTGGCTCCCACGCCTGGGAATCTGTCCTTGCTCCGCGGCGGGTGGGAGTTTGTTTCGGTTTTTTGTTTTGTTTTTTAAAGGCTGAAGCAGATCGTTTCTTAAAATGCGGCCCCAGGACCGGGCACCCCCGGCGGACCGCCTGAAAAGGCAGATTGAGGCGGAGCGTCCACACCGTCCAACAAGGACCCTCCTGGGTTCCCAGACACCGGGCACCCCGTGCAGGAGGCAGCCGATCAAGGATTCTCTCTCATCATTGATGTCTCTCTCTCTCTCTCCCCCCGCCTCTCTCCCTCTCTCTCTCCTTTTCTCTCTGAAATCAGTAATGAAATATATGTATATTTTTAAATAATATTCTTTTATTTTCAATCCTCACCAGAGGATATTTTTCCCGTTGATTCTTTTTTTTTTTTTTTAATATATTTTATTGATTTTTTTACAGAGAGAAAGGGAGAGAGATAGAGAGTTAGAAACATCGATGAGAGAGAAACATCGATCAGCCGCCTCCTGCACATCTCCCACTGGGGATATGCCCGCAACCCAGGTACATGCCCTTGACCGGAATCGAACCCGGGACCCTTCAGTCCGCAGGCTGACGCTCTATCCACTGAGTCAAACCGGTTTTGGCCCGTTGATTCTTAGAGTGGAAGGAAGGGAAGAGGGAGGGGAGAGAGAAAGAGAGAGAGAAACATCAACGTGAGAGACACATCGATTGGTTGCCTACCACACGTCCCCTGACCAGGGCTTGGGGCTCAAACCATAACCGTGGTATATGCCCTTGCCCAGGAATCGAACCCGAGACCCTTCATTCCCTGGGTGGGTGCTCTAACCACTGAGAAACCCGTCCAGGGTTCCATCCACTCTTTCTGCCCTGGGCATCTCGCTGGGCAAATGTGGAGACTGGTTAAACTGACCAGGGGTGGACACCTTCTCCTTCTTCTTCTTTTTGTTGATTTCAGAAAGGAAAGGAGAGGAAGAGAGAGACGTCGATGAGAGAGCAGCTGCCTCCTGCACGCCCCCTACGGGGGATTGAGCCCGAAACCCAGGCATGTGCCCTGACCGGGAATCGAACCATATGGAGCTTTAGTCTGGGATCCTGGAGACAGACGGTGATGCCTGACGATCGTGCAACACTGGAAATGCACCCACTGGGAATCGGTGACATGAAGCTGTCCGCTCTTTTAAGCGAAATGCTTAAAAGGGTATATTTTGCATCGTGTCTGTTTCACCGCAATAAGAACAAGACGGTCTTGCTTCTGTAAATAAACTCTCCCGACAAGCCCAAGAGGAAGTCAAAACAAAACAGTGCCATTTTGCAATGCGGCCGCCACAGGGCCCAGGGCGGAGGGCGGCAGGCCCGGGCCGCCTTCCCTCGCTGCTGCCCACCCAGGGCCGGCCTGAGCCGGGGCCAAGACGGTCTAGGGCCAGTGGTTCCCAACCTTGTTCCGGCCACGCCCCACCTGAGCTTCCCTAACATCCTGGGTACCCCCACCTCCCACCCCAGTGACATAGAATTCTTATTATTAAAAAAGGGAACTCCTGTTCCCAGGGAGGAAGCATAAAAAGCCATGAACTTGGTCTAAACAAGCTGCCAAAGACCATGGCACCCATGAAAGAGAAAAACCGAAGAGACGAAAGGATAGTGGACGTACTGAGGAAGAAATCACTAAGGAATTGTTAAAAAATATGTTATAATAATGTGAAGTGATATGAAAAAATAGCAAATAAAGTTTCAAAACGTATCATAGAGAACCGAAACGCATAAATATGTCACAGTATATATGTATAGACTGTCTACGAGGCCCCTCGAACCATAAGAAATGCAAAACAGTCACTGTGAATAAAACTCATTCTCGAATTGCCCCCCTTAAACATCAAGTTGCCCTCCAGTGGGGTGTGTGCCCCACATTGGGAACCACAAGTCTAGACAGAGGAGGCTCCAGGCACTGCCTGGGAAGACCCTGGGCCCTGTCCTTCATCCCTGTAGCCTGTGGAAGCAGCTGGTGCCCCCTTCAGGCTCAGGTCGGAAGTTCATCACCTCTGCCTGGCCAGTGTGGCTCAGTGGTTGGTGCCGACCAATGAACCAGGAGGTCACAGTTCTATTCCTAGTCAGGGCACATGCTTGGGTTGCGGGTTCGATCCCTACTTTTTTCAGCTCCCCACCCCCCCTCCCGCATTTGAGGAGGGGCGCCCCGAAGCATCGTCTTCAAAGAAGCCCTTACAGGGAACTCTGTCTGTCGGTTTGTTCCCGGCTGGCTGCCAGCAAACAACTGGGGTATTTACTGAGGGTTTCCAAGAAATTGCTGCATGTTCTTTGAAAGGTTATACCTCTCATGGGCGCTCCATGTGTTAGCCCCAGAGAGAAAAGGAACATGTGTGGGAACAGACTGATTGGTGAGAGAATGTTCAGTTACGTCGGTGGAGATCCATGTTAAGTACCTGCCATAGATGCCCGGCCGGCGTGGCTCAGTGGTTGAGCATCAACCTATGAACCAGGAGGTCACGGTTCGATTCCCGGTCAGGGCACATGCCCGGGTTGCAGGCTCCATCCCCAGTGTGGGGCGTGCAGGAGGCAGCCGATCGATAATTCTCTCTCATCATGGATGTTTCTCTCTTTCCCTCTCCCTTCCTCTCTGAAATCAATTTTTAAAAATATTTTTTTAAAAAAAGAAAACAGCCGAAACCGGTTTGGCTCAGTGGATAGAGCGTCGGCCTGCAGACTGAAAGGTGCCAGGTTCGATTCCGGTCAAGGGCATGTACCTTGGTTGCGGGCACATCCCCAGTAGGAGATGTGCAGGAGGCAGCTGATCGATGTTTCTCTCTCATCGATGTTTCTAACTCTCTATCTCTCTCCCTTCCTCTCTGTAAAAAATCAATAAAATATATTAAAAAAAAAAAGAAAGAAAAGAAAACAGAAAGGAAGTTGTAGGATGTGCTTTTAACACATTTCTCAACCTCAGCCTCGACGCGCTGAGGAGGAACTTTGAACGTGACGTAGTGGAAACACCCAGTGAGAGATGGGGAAACAGCTCCGAGTGGGGACGCAGCTGGCCCAGAGGGAACTTCTGAGCGCGAAGGGAGACGGAAACCCGGGCTCTGTGCCCCTGATCCAGCCCAGGACCCCTCGTGGGCACAGTGCGGGCCAGTAGGAGTCCTCATCATTGAGTCACTGTAGCCTGGGGCTTCCCCTACTAGCCTAACCTGATGGTGATTAAGGACACTCATTTTCCATTTTTTTAGAAAGTATTTGTATTGATTTTAGGGAGAGGAGAGGAGAGGGAGCAAGAGAGAAACATCAATGAGAGAGAAACATTAAAGGGCTGCCTCCTGCACGCCCCCTACTGGGGATAGAGACCCCCCCCAACCCTGGCATGTGCCCTTGACCTCCTGGTTCATAGGTCAATGCTCAACCAACTGAGCCACACTGGCCGGGCAATGTACTTTTCCTTGGATATTAGTCTAGAAGAAGAAATACGGAGTTGAAAGCGGGTTAGACCCGTGGTCAGCAAACTGCGGCTCGCGAACCACATGCGGCTCTTGGGCCCCTTGAGTGTGGCTCTTCCACAAAATACCACATGCAGGCGTGCGCGCGTACAGTGCGATTGAAACTTCGTGGCCCATGCGCAGAAGTCGGTTTTCCGAGTGGGCGAGTCTATTTTGAAGAAGTACTGTTGATATTTGGCTCTGTTGACTGATGAGTTTGCCCACCACTGGGTTGGACTCTTGAAACCACCCCATAGGTCACAAGATGGAACATCTGTGTCTTGTCAGCTGTGTGCTTGATGGAAAGATCATTGTGAATTAGGGGGGTATTGCCGAATTTGGGGGATCCGATGACCGGTCAGGATCTGCGGCTTTTGGCCTTACTAAAAACCTCACTGGGACGGTGTGAGAGCCGGTCGTGTATGGCTGTGGGTCCTGTATTTTCCCCACAACCACGGCCAGGATCCTGCATTATGTATTCACTGCATAATGAGTAATTTTAGACGTGGGTCACCTTGGAGGGAGGGTGTCTGTGGGAAGGCAGGGGATGGCACTATTTTTGACATAAATCACAAGTGCCAGGAAAAGTGATGCTACCCAAAGAATAAACAGGAGCGACGCCATTCAACCGCAGAAACGGCACATGTGCCACCACCCGGCGCTTCCGATTGTGTCATATGTCAATCATCTGATCATATTATTATTATATTCCTAATACGTTTTTATTGATTTCAGAGAGGCAAGGCAAACGTAGGTGGACAGTTGTTCGTATGGGAAAGAATGCACGAATAGTAATAAGACGAGAGTAAACTCGTGTTTCACGTACTCACAACTGTCACCCTACTTCCGCCCCACCCTGTATTGTACTCCCTACAAACATTTGTCATACGGGAATTTCCTCACTTCCGTGGCCTTCGCTGTTGTCTGCTGTTTTTTTAAAATTAGAAACGTATACAATTTAAACTCCAAAGCCTGTCTTCAGAAATCCGCATTACTTTTTGTGGATGGACCACATTAAAATGTTGACAAAGGCCCTAGCCGGTTTGGCTCAGAGGATAGAGCATCGGCCTGAGGACTGAAAGGTCCTGGGTTCGATTTCTGGTCAGAGCACAGGCCCGGGTTGTGGTCTCCATCCCCAGTGTGTGGGGGGGGCGTGCAGGAGGCATTCGATCCATGATTTTCTCTCATCATTGATGTTTCTCTCTCTCTTCCTCTCCCTTCCTCTCTGAAATCAATAAAAAAAAATTTTTTAAAAAAAGTTAACAAAGACTCAGGTTAGGGTACCTGCTGACTATCTTTCCACATAGAATATGGGGAGGGGTGGACTTCACACCCAAGTAGGAACATCCCCTACCATTTATTCCTCATCCATTAAATGCTCGTACTGTTAGGAGCTTGGACATGAAACATACTCGCTTTTTTTAAAAAAGATTTTTATTTTAAGCATCGAAACGGGTGACAGGGAACAAGGCAACTGAATTCACGGTTCACTCCCCAAGCGCGCACGTCGCAAGCGCCTCCTGGAGCTGTTGATTCTATACGTGCTCGTCCCGCCCGCAGAACTGGCGGGAACAAAGGGACAGTGTGAACCGGGACGACGCGGAGAAGCGGGAGGCCAGGTCCGCCGGCTGGAGCGCAGGGCGTGGACGGCGGGTTGAGCCGAGGACAGTCTCGGCCGGGGCGCACCCGCCGATCGGGGACAGTTCAGGAACCAAGAAGCCCCTCCGCACGTTGGCCACGCAGCGGGCTGCCGTGGCGCCGCCTGGGGAAGCGGGGTCGGGGAGGCGGGGTCGCCGGGCGCCTAACGGGCCACTCGGGCGCGCCGGCCCGGGGTCCCCTCCCGCGCCTGTCGGGCCGTGCGCCCCCGCCGCCCGGCGACCCCGGTGCACCCCGCGCGGGTGGGGCAGCGCGCGCGCGCCGGGAGGGCTTTGCTGCTTTTTTTTTTTCTGGTTAAACTTTAGCCACGTGCACCGCCCCCCATTCACTTTTGCACCAATCGGAGGGCGCGGACGGATCCCGAGAGGGGCCACGACGCCTCGCCTCCCCACCGCTTCTTAACGCGCCGTGCGTGACGTGAGGGGCTCCTGTTGCAATGGCGAGCTGAGCCGGAGGATGTGCGGCTGCAGCGGCGGCGCCGGCCACGACGAGGACGGGCACGGGCGCAGCGCGATCGCAGCCGAGCCGGCCGGGGCGCACGCGGACGGGCAGGACCGGGCACCCGGACTCGGCGGCCACTACGGTCGCCGTCGCGCTGGCCCTGCGCCCCCGCGCCCGAGCGGGAGGAGCCGCCCCCGCGGCCCCCGCCCCCGCGGCCGCTTTGCGCCCCAGCCGCCGCCGCCGGCGCGCGCCGGGCATGGTCCCGCCTTAAAGGCGCAGGCCGCGGCGGGGCGCGCGCGGAACAAAGCGGCGGCGCGGGGCCTGCGGGCGGCTCGGGGGCCGCGATGGGCGCGGCGGGCCCCCGGCGGCGGCGGCGCTGCCCGGGCCGGGCCTGGAGGCTCTAGGACGGGCTGGCCTCCGCGGGCGGGGGCGGCGAGCTGAGCGCGCGCGGAGCCGGCGGGCGGAGAGCGGCGCGGACATGGCCGCGCGGGGCCGGCGCGCCTGGCTCAGCGTGCTGCTCGGGCTGGTGCTGGGCTTCGTGCTGGCCTCGCGCCTCGTCCTGCCCCGCGCCTCCGAGCTGAAGCGAGCGGGCCCGCGGCGCCGCGCCAGCCCCGAGGGCTGCCGGGCCGGGCAGGCGGCGGCGGCGGGTTCGCAGGTCGGCGGAGCGCGGAGCGATGCGCGCGGGGCGCAGTCTTGGCCCCACGGCCCGGCTCCCGAGGGCGGCCCGCGCGACAGGAACTTTCTCTTCGTGGGAGTCATGACCGCCCAGAAATACCTGCAGACCCGCGCCGTGGCCGTGTACAGGTGAGCCCCCCTCCTGCAGCCGGCATCCCTCCCACGGCTCCTGCCTTGGCCTGGTTCCCAGGACCCAGGCTCCCGGGGTGCCCCTAGGGTGATGCCCCTCGGGGGAAGCCAGGCATTGGGCAGCAGAGGTCAGAGGCAGGACGTGGAGCTCTCATCACTCATGATGTAGGGGCTTGGGGGTCAGATGGTCGGACCATGGTGACCCTCTGGGTGTGGTTCTCACCCTGACTGTGCAAGGCACTTTCTTTAAAAAAATGTTTTTAATATATTTTATTGATTTCGGAGAGGAAGGGAGAGGGAGAGAGAGGAAAATCAATGATGAGAGAGAATCATGGGCCGCCTGCCTCCTGCACGCCCCCTATTGGGGATGGAGCCGGCAACCCGGGCATGTGCCCTGATCGGGAATCGAACCGTGACCTACTGGTTCCTAGGTCTCTGCTCAACCACTTAGCCCCGCTGGCCAGGCTGCGCAAGGCACTTTAGCTTTCCATGTTCCAACCTGTCTTTTGTTTGAATGGTCCCGACTGAACGGATCTCCCTCAATAAGGCTGTTAGAACAATTCTTTTCCGTGACAGCAGGGGTTGCTAGCTGGTTGGTTGTCTGAAATCTGCCCCATTGCCCTTGCAGAGCCCATGGAAATGAACCTGGTTAGACCCCCTTGTTGGCATGGGTGTAGATTTCACTTTGGGGGCACTGCTGTTCGTGAAAGGGGGTGCCCACTGAGCCCGCCAGTCTGTGCAGTCAGTGGAAAGAGCACCTTTGGGAAAAGCGGTTTCCTGGCCGGCGGGGATGTGCTATTCACCAGCCCCGTTCGGTGATGAGATGCCGGGGGCTGGGCCCTAGTTGGCCAGATGAGTCATAAAAGTGGCCGGAATCATGTTCAGGGATTAGCGACGGGATTAGGCAAAGTCGCCTTTAGCAGGGAGATGGTTTGGGAATGGCAGATGGGTGCTGGGGTGAATTTGAGGTGGGTGGGGCGTGGGTTCCTAATGGAAACCTTACACGATGCGTGAAGTACAGAAATGCTGAGGTGCAAACCCGGCTGGGAGGGCCTCCGGGAGGGAACTTTTGGAGCACAGAGCGCTGAGCAAGGCCAAGCTGGTTGGTTCTTTCTTTAAAATGTATTTTTTATTTCAGAGAGGAAGGAGAGGGAGAGAGAGTCATGGATCAGCTGCCTCCCGCACGCCCCACACCGGGGATGGAGCCCACAACCCGGGCATGTGCCCCGACCGGGAATGGAACCGTGACCTCCTGGTTCCCTTTGCCCTTTCAGTGCCTTGATTCGTGAGTGTCCCCGCTTTAGGATCTTGTCTAAATCCAGAGCTGAGGTCCTGCCCAGAAGGGCCCTGAGGGACGGGATGCCCCTAAGTGCCATTGGAGACCAAAGTCACAATTTGGGAACCTGCAGATCAAGGTGTGTGTCGTCGTCGTCCCCCCCACCTCCCCCAGATCTAGAGTGAATAATTACCCAGAACTTTACGCGAATTGTGCTTTTTGGCCCGAGAACTATCCACATCAGAAATTGAGGGTGAGCTTTGCCAATCGCTGACAGCGTGGTTTTAAAAAAATCTCCTATCTCATCTTTTTCAGGGGTACCATTTCTTCCCGTTGGGTTTTTTTCTTTCCCTTCAGGCACTTGGGGGAAAGCAACGCAATTTACCGTCTGCCCTCCCTACCCCCTTGCTTCTCTGTGACAGCTAAACTGCCTTTCTGATAAAGAAAGTCCTTATCCAGACACATTGTGTCCTGTCTTCCTTCTTTGTGGACAGCCCTGCCTTTCTGATAAAGGAAAAAACCCTTAGGGGGGGAAACAGTGTATCCTATCCAGTCATTCATCGCTCTCCCACATACCTTTTCATTTATCTCTTTGATCTTAAGGAGTTACAGTTACTTGGAGCCTGAGGGGGACCTGCCCCGCCCTGTGAAGGGCCTGGGCTTCTCCACTGTCCACCCTGTGTTTAGACTGGCTGCAGGAGATGGCACAGGACCGTTTTAGCCTGGAGGAACTCGGGAGGCAGGCCTGAAGTGGGACGGAGGCTGTAGGGTGTAACTTATGATTACGCCTTTGCTGTGCTCTGCAGCCTGAGCCAGGAGTCCACACTCAGCTCTTAGATTGGAAAAAGTTCATGCGCAGCTCGGTGTAAAAGCCAGCTGGGCCCTGGCTGGTTTGGCTCAGTGGATAGAGCGTCGGGCCTGCGGACTAAAGGGTCCCAGGTTCGATTCCAGCCAAGGGCACATTGCCCAGGTTGCGGGCTCAATCCCGCCCCCCCAGTAGGGTGCGTGCAAGGAGGCAACCAATCAATGATTCTCATTAATGTTTCTATCTCTCTCCCTCTCCCTTCCTCTCTGAAATCAATAAAAATAAAAAGTTAGCTGGGATCCTCCTGCACAAGGTGGGACTCCGGTTTGTCATGGGGTGTGGTCAGCTTACATCTCCCCTAAAAGGCAAATTCATTCCAATTCTTCCTTTGCCTTAGCAAACACTCCAGTGTTTCTGGTTTCTTTTTTTTCTTTTTAATTTATTTCAGAGAGGAGGAGAGAGAGAGAGAGAGAGAGAGAGAGAGAGAGAGAGAGAAAGAGAGAGAGAAACATCAATGATGAGAGAGAATTGTTGATCAGCTGCCTCCTTCACACCCCCTACTGGGGATGGAGCCTGCAACCTGGGCATGTGCCCTGACCAGGAATTGAACCGGGACCTCCTGGTTCATAGGTCAAAGCTCAACCCCTGAGCCACACCGGTCGGGTTGTCTGCTGGGGTTTTATTCTGAGTGAATTAGCAAGACCTCATTTTAGGCAGGAAAGGGAGGCGATTGCATTCTGTTCTGAGCAGTAAATTCTGCCTGGCGTGTGGGCGGTCAGTTGTAGGGAAGCAGGGAGATGTTAGGAAGGGGTCTGGGTGGGGGTGCGGCTGGCTGGGGCTAGTGGGGGGCGATGGGGAGAAGCGGGCGGTCCCTGGGCCAGAGTTAAAGATGCGCTGACGGAACGTCCATGACTTGTAAGCAACGAAGAGTTAGCGGGACTTCTAGGATTTTGCCTTGAAAGGCAGGGTGGGTGATTGTGTCACCCCTGGGGGCTGGGAAGGCCTGAGGGGGAATCGGTCTTTAGGGGAAGGAGGTGAGTCAGCAGAGAGCTGGGTTTGCACAGGAAGAGTTGTTATCGCTTTCCGACACACACGGGGGGGGGGGGGGGGGGGGTGTGTGTCCTTGGTTTCATCCACATAATAACTTTATTTTCAAAAATTGAGAGGAGATTTGCATCTAAGGTGATTGTATTGTTGGACCTCCGAACCGATCTTGAGCTAAGATTCCTTAAAGGTTCTGGGTGGCTGGAGATGTGCAAAACACCTGCGACGGTTGTTTTGACTCCTGCAAAGGATTTGTATTCGAGGTCATTTCACTGCAAAATGGTCCCGTGAGTCCCCCGTAACTATGTGTCATGTTGGTTGGTGACAGGTCGTCAGTACGCCTGGGTTCCTTGCGTCTTCCATTACTAGTTGCAACTCATATTCTTCCCTTTAAAAAAATAAAATAAATGACATTGTTTAATATACAGAAGTTACATCTTCAGGCCTCGCCAGTTTGGCTCAGTGGGTAGAGCATTGGCCTGGGGACTGAAGGGTCCCGGGTTCGATTCCAGTCAAGGGCACCTGCCTGGGTTGCAGGTTCCCTGTCCCTGGTCCGGGCACGTGCAGGAGGCAACCCATCGATGTGTGTGTGTGTGTCTCTCTCTCCCTTCCACTCTCTCTAAAAACCAATGGACAAATATTCTCCGGTGAGGATTAACCAAAAAGAAAAATAGTTACATCCTCATGTCGTTCATTTTTTTTATTTTTATTTAAATCCCCACCCCAAGCTCAGAAAGTCATTATCCAGGAGAGAGTTTTAAAAGTAACTTTTTTTTTTCTTCCCTAATCGTAAAAGGGGTAGGAACATCACCAGCCCTACTTTCCCTCCCGGTGGTGAGGCCATCTCCATCCTACTCCGCATTCCTGGGTCTGTTTCTCGAGCTTCCGATTTGGTTCCCTTGATCTTCCTGTCTGTTCTCCGGCCAGTCCCACCCATGGAAGGGACTGGAAGTCAAATAATATTTTAATTTCCGGTGGACAAGGGCCCCTTTGTTACTCTTCTGTCCCCGGCACCTCTTGGCTACACTTCACCTGTTCTTGCCGGGAGAGTTTGGATGTTGTTTAGCGATTTAAAAAAGTAATGGTTGGATTAGAAGCCTACATCGTTAGATTTTCAGTCCGTTTTTAGACCGAGGGCACTGAGCTAACCCAACACCTCTTTTTTTTTTTTTTTCTTTTCTTTTTTTAATTAGTTTTTATTGATTTCAGAGAGGAAGGGGGAGAGAGAGAGAAACATCGATGATGAGAGGATCATGGACCGGCTGCCTCCTGCACGCCCCACACTGGGGATCGAGCCCGCAACCAGGGCCTGTGCCCTGACCGGGAATCGAGCTGTGACCTCCTGGTTCACAGGTGGATGTTCAACCACTGAGCCACACCAGCCGGAATAACCCAACACCTTTTATTTGTCTTGGTTCCGAGCTGCCCTGAGCTGAAGACGAGGAACTGTGTTTCTGTTCCTTTTTGTTGTTGTTGTTATTAATCCTCCCCTGATTTCCATTAATTTTTAGAGAGAGTGGGAGGGAGAGGGAGAGACTGAGAGAAACATCGATGTGAGAGACACACACACATTGATTGGCTGCCTCCTGCACATGCCCCGACCAGGGCTGGGGATCGAGCCTGCAACCGAGATACGTGCCCTGGACTGGAATCAAACCCGGGACCCTTCAGTCCAAAGGCCGACGCTCTATCCACTGAGCCACACCAGCCAGGCCTTGTTCTTTCTTTGCTTTCTCAGAAGATAGAGGGGGATGGTTTCCCTTCGTAGCCCTGGGCGGGACAAAGGGGACAAAGGGCTCCGGGATAGATTAGCATCAGTCTGCAGGGAGTTGCGGGAAGAAAGCTTGAGAAACGCCAGCTCTGGATCCCGGAATC